CAGTACGGCTTGTCAGACTTGGCGAAGCTGTGAATCACGGCATTAATAACATGAGAGGGAAAAGGAAAAGAAAAAAGTGGCAGCTGCCCAAAGGGTGTGTGTACTCACACTTCAACATCCCAGCCCTCGCTCAGGGTGCGCACGAGGTCAGGCCGCGTGGCAGCGAGATGGTTATAGACGCGCCACGTGCTCGCGAGACGACTGGCGCCGCCCTCAGCAGCCGAGTCGAGGGCGAACAGAGACACAATGTCACCCGTGTCCGTGTGGAAGACTTGCTTGTCGGCCGTGTAGGCTGGGCTCCCGATGACGCCATCCTGGCCCTGGGACGTCAGGGTCAGGTCCTTGATGTGGGTGAGGACGACATCGGCAGGCTCGCCGGCATATTTTGTGTCCTGGCGGCCGCGCAGCCCAGCAATGTGAGAAGAGATGCCGGCGTAGATGATGATGTTGTCGCGGCGCTCATAATCGTCAACGCGCAGACCGCGGACGACGAAGAAGCCGTGGCCGTCGTGCAGCTCGGCCGACAGACGGCGCAGCTCTGCGTGCAGCGTGGGCAGGGGGAAGGTGTCTGGGGACAGGCGGCCGAGGGGCAGGCTCAGGGCCTTGAAGCTGCGAAGGGCCTCGTCGACCTCCTGTAGCTGGGCCGGCGACAGCACGTAGGTCCACTGGTAGCGGTCGGCGAGGCCCTGGCCCTCCCAGACGAGGGGCCCCTGGAGCTGGGCGGGGAAACCGTCTGGAAGGGTCTTCGGGAGGTCGAGCTTGGCACGACGGGTGGCGCGCGCCTGATACTTTTCGTAGTCGGGGTGATAGGAAATGTCCGGCTGGCGAGGGCTAGCTGTGGCCGTGGCCGTGGTAGTGGAGCCGGCCGTTGTCGACATGGCTGGCGGCGTGGGGGTGGCCTTTCTCTGTCCTCTCGATCACGAGATGTTTGCCTTGTGGTGTTTGCTGGCGAACAAAAGGGGGAGGGGGGAGGACGCCTCTCGACATCTGCCGTCCTTCCGATTACTGGATTCCACTCTCAGCCGTCGCCGGCGTCATGCTCGCGAGGCGATGACAAGCCGTTTCTTTTATCAACCCATCGCCGTCCACCTGCCGGAAGCCGACTGAGTGGGTGGTGTGCTCGTGAGGGGAGGGCAGCGGGGGAGCGTCGTGGGAGTGCATCATGGCACCGACGAGAGGGGCGAATTGGAGGCCACGCCAGACAGGGGCCAGGGGTCGCGTGCTGCAGCACCTCATGCCGGCTCCTGGTCGCGCAATTGAGTGGACCGACCAACCCATGGCTGACGGGTGCTAGAGAGAGTTGGGTAAGGACTCATCGGCATGGCTTTGCGTGGCTGTGATGCTTATTCGTACCTCCTGTCGTCCCTTGCTTTGCTTCCTTGAGGGAGAGAGGGTCCTCACTCAAATGTCGTGATCGAGCTGGAGCAGAGCTGGGACCATTGCGAGTCAGTCTTTTGCAGTAGGATGGCCGCATTTCCCGAGGATCGGGGCTATGAAGCGAGCTTCGTCGCCGGCGTCGCCGTGGTGTTTTTGTCGGCCTTTTTTGCGATCGACTTTCGATTATTCATCGGAGAGGAGCAAGTGTTAGTAGTCTCTCAGCTGCGCGACAAAAAACACGAGTATCAAGAGTTCATGTCCTTGTCGTTGTCATGGTCCTCGCTACTATTACGGTCCTTCTATTACGGTCCTTCTATTACGGTCCTTTTCAATACAATGATCCTTGTCATTGTCATGGAACTTATCATGGTCATGGTCCTTGTCACTATCATGTCACCTCTAGTGCTGTTTTCTCTTTGCATTTCACTCATTGGTCCTCTGTATCTCTGCTGTCTGTATCATGGACTGCACGTCTTCCTCTCCATCTGCCGCTTCAACTGGTGCTCATGAGAAAGAAGTATCCCAAGCCCAGTACGAACCCAATCAGACTCCGCATCCCTGCCACCTGGTGCCGCGTCACCATGCCTTGCTTCGCAGTGTGCTGTGTCTTGTCAACTCATGCCGCCATCGCAGCAGGCTCTCCAACCTTCTCGCTGTACGACACAACATGTAACTTCAACTCGAGGTTACCCTCAAACTGCAGTGTTGCGCCAACCTGACACATGCCCCCGTCGTTGCAGTGACTGCACGTGTCCATGAGCCTCTGTAAACCCGCAGCGGCGGCACCAGCCTGGAGCTTCAGCCCCTTCTGGCAGGCACACGTCGTTGCGTACATGCGGAACACGTCCTGCCAAGCCTCTCCTTTTCCGTCCTCCCCGGCGCGTACGGTCTGCACCTGCACTGCGCAGATGTCCACCTCCGTCTTTTTAGGCATGTCCCACGTGTTGTCACGATTTGCCCACAGAAAGTCGAGACAGGCCTGGGCGTAAGTACCGTTGGTCGGGACCTGGTTCGCGTGGCACTCGGAGGACGGGTTGAGGGCGTCGGCGCTCAGAAGCTGGGCATCGTAGGCGACGCGAGAGGTGAGCGTCAGGGCCGAGGCAGCTTGCTGAACGTCGGACCAGGTGAGGTTCGTCGTGGCTTCGAGCGGCTCACGATTGGGGCCGAAGAGGTACTGCGTCGTGTTGCTCGTGAGGTCTTTGTACTTGTAGATGATGGGCTTGTTGAGAGAGGCTGGGGTGTCCTCTTGTCCCTTGCCTGCCCTGTCGTTCGTAGGAGTCTCGTTGAAGGAAACAGCTTCGATGGTAGGAGAGGCGGGAGAAAGGCTCTGAAGGTTGGCGTCTTCGCCAGCATCTAGGAATAGAGAGCGAGCATCCTTGTGTGGGGCGCTGCCCATGATTTCAACGACCATGTTCTTCTTTTTGCCCGTGAGCCACCAGCCGCCAACATAGCAATTCTTGTGAGGTTCATGGCAACTCGTACAGTAACGTTTGGCCCAGCGCAACGTCTGGTACACCTCGTCGGCCGTGGCCTCGCCCTCGGCGTGACCATCCCTGGCGTAACCATAAATGCTCAGCATGTGCCGGTCTTGGTTTCCTTGGATGCGGCAGATCCTGACCCAGTCAGTGGTCTTGAACACCTTTTTCGGATCAACCTTCATCTGGTCCATGCATTCGAGGACCGAAGTCATGGGCCCGCGAGGCCAAGTGCACACGTCAGCCTGAGCCTTTTTGGCTCCGATGTTGACAAGTTCCTCATCGGGAATGTACCTGGCGAGTTCTTTGGTGGCGCTTGTCAACTTTTCGCCGGCATCGCGAGCTGCGAGTCGATCTTCCTTCTTGCCGCCAACGACCTGTACGATAAAGTCATCTTTGGGCCCAACAGCCCTGAAGCCGCCAACGTAGCAGTCGTCCCGCGCGGCGCGGCACGTCGAGCACCTGTCGCGCATCCAGTCCAGGGCCTCGAGAATGTCTGTGCCGCTGGCCTCCGCCCAGGCAGCGCCCTCCTTGACGAATCCGTTAATCTGAAGTGTTTCGACTCTACCCTCCGCGTCCATCTCAGAGCCGTCGACACGGCAAATCTCAATAAAGTCCAACGTCTGGTACAGCCTGTTGGGGTTGCGTCGCTGGTCGGCTACGCATTTGTTGACGAGGGCTCTGACGGGACCTCTGGGCCAGGAGCAAGAGTCCCACTCATCAGAAGACCGCCTGGAGAGCGTCTCGTTGCTGTTTTTGGCCTTGCTGGTATTCTGAGCAATCTCGTTGCGTTTTTCGCCAGTTGTACCGTCCTTCCTGTTCCTGCCGTTGACCTTGACGATGAACTTGTTGTTCTTGCCAACGGCCTTGGCGCCACCGGCATAACAATCAAGTCCTTCACAGCTGGTGCACTGATCCCTGATCCACTCGAGGGCCGTGATGATCTCGAGGCTCGTGGCGTGGGCGCCGCCGGGGGCCCCAATCCAAGCCGAGCCGCGAATGGTGATGTAGAGATCCTCACCGCGGATGACGCAAATGTCGACGGGAACACGGGCCTGCCAGACTTGATCCGGCACCCGGGAGAGGGCGTCGATGCACATGGAGATGCCACCGAGGGAGCCCTTCGGCCAGTTGCACTGGGGCTTGAAGTCCTCGTCACTGGTGCGCATGTACGAGTCCATGAGGTGTTCGTCGGCCTTTGAGGTGTTCATGCGAGAGGGGAGGCTGCTGGTGGAAGCTTCGTTCTGGTTGTCATCAGTGACACGGGTGGACGCATGATTGTTCTTGCCGATGAGTCCAAGATTGTCAATGGGAACACCACCAAAAATCAGAGTGACATTTGAGTGCAGGGCGTCAGTCTGGAGATGCTGGATGCCACCGGGAATCGTGGCTGCCTCGCAAAAGAAGACGAGACACATGAGTGTACCAACCGCCAGAGCCACAGCCCCACGTGAGAAAGGGAGTGGCATATTGGTTGATGCAGTGAGTATCGTGAGCGAAGCTTGATTGATATCGAACGCGGAAAACTTGAGGGTAATGATGGCGTATGATGAGGATGGGTAGGTAGACCTGTTGTTGTTGATGATAGTCGGTCAAAGAGAGAACGCGGGCGTGAAGAGGTCGTTCTAGATATTCCTTGGGGGAGGTATTCTGGAAGGCGCGAATTGGGTGGTTGCCTCACAAGATATTGCAGGCCGGTGAATGTATATGATTATGATTCACTGCCCCAAACGAGCTTCTCCAAAAACTATCAATGGCCCAGAAGTGAATAAAAATAACATCATTATGTCTCTATACTATCTTCAAGCGAAAAGATCGTGCTTTTGGCAGGCATGCTCAAAAAAGGCAGATCGCGTCCTACGAGAAAGAGCATCATGCGTTGACCCTGAGGTCGTGGGCTTAGTCAATGTATGGCACAAGAGCGTGATATAGTATGGGATATCTCACAAAAGCAACACCATCGTACCCAAGAAAACAGACTATTGTCCTTGAACCATGCACCCACTAGGTTCGTCCAGGACACGAGTACACATACACTACTCTTACTACATGGTACACACACATGAAGCTGACATGCCCTTGGACCCGCCCTCGTCCTCGCCAAGCTATACATCTCGAGCCACGTTCCGCCAACTCCCCGAGGACCCATCATCTCTCCGTCTGATGCTCGACGCCCTTGACCAGTCTCCCGCCTTTCTGAGTCGGTTTCCCAAGCTTGCTCGCGCTGCGCTCATGACCGCGTTGCTGCCGTTACCGAACCCCTGCATTCGACTCGGAATGCCCTCGCTCGACACGACGCTCTCCCATCCCTTCTCGCTGTCCGAGTGATGGAGGTGGTGGCCCGGCCCCCTCGTCACCTCGAGCGCGGACGCCGGCAACATCGACGATGCCGATGTGGCCTCCAAAGACGGCGCCCGCTGGTGACCTCCCTTGCGCACCGCCGCCATGATGGCTGCCCACGACTCGACCTGGCCGTTCGCCGCCTCCTCGACGCAGTTGCACTCGTCGCCCGCTGGGCACAGCTGCTCGCCCTGCGCGTGCCACTCGGCGAGGCACGACTCGTGGCTTGCGCATCCACAGCCGAGGCACGGCAAAAATAGCGCGTCGACCGGCTCGTGGCAGAAAACGCAAAGAAGCTGCGCCTGCGTGCGGTGACATCTGTCGCACACGCCGACCGCCCCGCCCAGCCGTGTCGCAAACGCCGTCGTATACTTGAGCGACTCGAGTTGCATCTCGTGGATCCGACAGATGCCTGTGACGTCGAGGCCGCGATCTGACGCAATCAGAGATTGAAGCTGATCCTTGCGCCCAAGAAGAATGGGGGAAGGCCCATGCAGCTGGTGATTAGGCACGCCGTGGTGCGAAGTAAGCGTCGTGTTATCATGGACGCTGAAGGAATCGTGTAGGCTGGTGCGATCTGCTCTGGAGTCAAAGTCCTCCTTGAGCGTGTTGAACTTCATAATCTCGAGCCTCGCGAGCGGTTGGTTCCACATTTGGAGGATCTCAGCGTAGGCATATCGATACACGGCGTACATGTCGCTGCGACCTGGTGTCAGTAGTGGCGTCGACATCCAACCATCGTCGTCGAAAATTGTCTGGTCTTCCATGTGGACCGTCACCCCTATCGGCACTAGCGATGTCGACTCTTCCCTGAAGCCCTCGTCGTCCGATACCGACGTTCGCGCAGTGCCCGTATCTCCCAGAACGGTCGAGCCGCCCCATGTGACATTGGCAATCGCGTTATTGGGCGCGAGCGTGCTTAATATCGTCTCGGCAGGACTTGGTCGCTTTTTGTTCTGGTGTGGCGGTGAAGAGGCCACCGTCATGCCGACCGCGAATGTGCGGGGAAAGTTGATGGCGAAGCTGGAAGTCAGTCCAGAGTTCACCCTGGACACCATGCGACCACTGGGGGAAGTCGAGAGGCTCGGCGCCTGGCTCTGGTTTTGGCTTCGCGGCTGATCCGGGTCGAGGTGTTGCTCTCGACCCTTGGTTGGCGGAGTCTCCCCACAAGAGTACGAATTCGAGCCCGGATCGCCGGCCCAGAGGATGTCCTCCGAACCCTGAGAGCCCGAGTAATGAATAGGTGTGTGGATGGTCCTTGGCGTGGTGATCGCCGAGTTGCTGTGGCTTCGCCCGTTCAATGCCCATAGAGAGGCATCTGTCGGGAAGTAGTCCAATGAAAAGGATGGTGCCTTCATGGGCAGTGGAGTCTCAGGTTGCGTCAGGCGAGATTCAGCGTACGCCACCGGGTCTTCAGCGGACGACTCGCTGAATATGCACGACAGCATGGCCAGCATTTGGATATCGGCCGTCCTTTCGTAAAAGTCGAGGAGCTTGTTGATGAAGTCTTTCGCCAAGGGGTGATTACCCCATTTAACCCGGCCGCTGAGGTTCGTGGTAGGTTGACCCGTGCCGCCTGGCGAAGCGTCACCGCGATGTCGTGCGACTGTGGTTCGCGCAATGACGAGGATGGAATCGTCGCGCTGATCGTGGTCGAGAGGCTCGAGCGGAATATCTCTCCGCAGCAAGAGACCAAGGTAGCGCCATACACTCATGAGATCGACGTGGCCGTACTTCTCGGCCACCTTGGCATTCTGCTCGCACACTTCGGCTCCGTCGCCAAAGATTGCATACTCTCGTGCGAGAGTTCTCTTAGCGGGCAGGATTTCTGAAAGATCATGGAGAGTAATTATGTTCCGAGGTTTGCCCCCGGGTCTTCTCCTTAGCGACCCAGTGCCGGTTCCGGTGCCCACGCCGGTACCTCCGCCGCTGGAGCGCACCGAACGATTCTCGCTCCAAGTCCTCCTGAACCGCTGTCGCGGTTGGTACCACAGATTCATTTTGTGCATGGACGTTGATTCTGAGCCGCTCGAAGAAGACGAGCTTTCAGACTCGTCCGAATCGGACTGCTCCTCCGTCGCAGAGGCCTCGTCGTTGCCATAACGCCGGGGTGGCGAGTCGTGCCCCAGGCGACCAAATGAGGCAAAGACAGGCTCGCCTTTCGGACGCTCCTTCATTGACTCGGGTGGTATGAACATCAAGGCTTTTGCCTTTTCTTCTTTCGTAGGGAAGAAGCACACCAGCCTTCCATCGCTCGCGAAACGGGCACCACAGAATCTGGGCAGAGGCGGGATCACTGGTCGGTTGTTTGGTGCCAGGGTATTGTCGATCTCCGTACTGGCGGTCAGGTCCTGGGACATGGACGCCGAGCCGCCCGCCGGTATGTCGTTATCGCTGTCCTCACTTGAGCTGTCGTCGGCGAGCCCATCCATGGGGTCGTCGAGGTCCTTGACGTTCTTGAAAAACGTCGTGCTGGTCTCTAGATCGACCTCTCCAAGGAGGTAGCTGAAAGCCACGTCGAGACAGTTTTGCTTGCGGTCCAGAAACTGGTGTGCCAGCTGGTGGACTTCGTGTTCGATTCTCCTGTGCGTCTCGGCAGGCATGAAGCTTGTCTTCTCCACAAAGAACTTTGGCGCCCTCGTCTTCGGATAGTTGGTCGGTATGTCAACCTTGACCTTGAGGAAGATGGTCTCCCCATCTCTTCCCCAGGGCCCATTGAGGGATGCATTGAGGGTGAGGGCGTCCCAGTCAATGTGGTCCCATTTGACCTTTGGTAGCTGGGTGCTGACGCGAAGAAACTCATCTTGTATCGTCTCCGGCTCGCCCCATTTATCATCGTCGGGATATCCAGGGCTGAAGACGTTCGGAGGTCTCGCGTCAGGACCGCGTGGCGTGTTGGATGAATGTTTCTTCTTCGTCATGGTGATTCCCTTCATCCAGCCGATGTGGGCCTGGCTTCGATCCATCTTTCGATGTATGCTCTTGGCCTTCATCGACGGGCCTTTCCATCCTAGTTTGCTGTGCACCGAGGAAGATGTCCGCATGCTTATTGTCAAGGCGCTTTGCCGATACTGTGTCCCACCACTTCCTGGACGGGGGTCGCTCATCGTAGCACTTCGGCGGTCGCGGTTCACGATGTCCTCTACTGTCCGGAAAGTCTTGTACGTGGCGCCCTTGCGTGTCAGCGTCAGGTTCTTCTTGGCTGGCATTCCCTTTCTGTAGCCAACCGACTCGAGAGTTGCCGCATCCATCCGTTGTAGTCGCAACTCATTATCCTCTCCCCATGAGACAAGCTGAAAGTCCCTATTGTCGATTCCCTGCTCGCTGATTCCTCCTCTGGTACGCCACAAAAACTCCTTTGCCTTGTGACTCCCGTGTCCAGGGAAGACAGCGACCGGTTCCGTGGCTGCGTCCGTTGGCGCACTGGGGTTCTGGTGCGCTTTGTATAGATAAAGGTCGCCCGGATCGTTCTGCGGCATGGCGAGCACGCCCTCGCCAAAGGGCACATGACGGGCCCTCCACACGGGAAACTCGGTTCGAATGACCCGTTCGGGGTTGTCATCGTCATTGGCGTAGTCCCAAAATTTGATGCTCTTATCTAGTGAGCAGGTCACGAGACTGGTTGATCTCGTGCGGTTCCAGTCGAGGCCGTAGATCTTAGAGGTATGGGCGCTGATCGACTTTAAAGGCACGTAGGATTTGCGCTCGTCCCAGATGTGCAGCCAGCGGTCGTGGGATGAGGCAAGGATGTGCGGGTTCTGTCGGTTGTACTTGACCTGGGTGGCGCCGGCAAACCAGTCACAGAAGGTCAAGACTGGCTGTCTCGGGCGACGTAGATCCCAGCAGTGTACATAGCCGTCGACGGCGCATGTGGCCAGCAGATCCGGATGATACGCAGAGAAGTTGATATCGGTGATGGCGCGGCTGTGGCCCTGGAGCGAATGCTCGATCGCACCGGAGCTCGAGTCGTCCCTGAGGTTCAGATTCCACACCAATGCACGATGGTTCGCCGTGGAGACAACCCAGTAGTCGCGAGCCGCAAACGGTGACCACTGGACGTCAGTGACCAGCCACGGCAACCCATGACTGCTGAGGCGACGAGGAGGATTGTAGGGTGAATCCAGATCAATGATGGCCAAACCTTCGGGTCTAGAACAGCGATTAGTGACTGCCACCTCGGTCCATTCAGCCGTGATGATGAACTCACGAGGCCAGTGCGACATCTCGGCCAGAGGGGGAGATGGTCGCAGAGCCTACAAGCCCCTCGACGTGTATGGTGCCATCGGAATCGAAGCTCTCGCTATCGAAGGCTGACTTGATCGGCTTGCCCTTCTTCGGAGCGTCAATGTGATCGAACGAGGGCATGTTGGCGAGGCTCAGGGAAGAGTGAGCAACGTGTTTCGCATCATGGCAGTGAACCAGGGTTCGAAGCTGATGAATCAGGCCTGAGACGCCGGAAGCTGCTGCGTTCAGAGGATCTCGGTCTGCAGCCGTGACATGAGTTGCGATGGAAAGCTCGCGACCGGCTTTGTGCGTGGTCAATGCAAGTAATGCTTGCTGTTGAAGGTGAACATGACAAGCAGTTGAGGTGAGACCTTCCGACGGGATCGTCACGCGTCAGAGTAGAAGGTCCCTTGACATGAAGATGCGTGGTAAGAGCGGTTGTACCATGGCACCAGATTCAGGCGCAGAAGTACTTAAGAGCCTAGCGCCTCCAGCCAACCACAAGTCGCCTGTTGTTCGGGGTGCACAGACCAGCTACAGGTCAAGGCACCTTGTCGTCCCTGCAAGACCTCCCAGTTCCTATCGTATCGGGCAGCGAGGTGAGGCGAATGCTCTTTTCCTGCGAGTGCCGCAGCGACACAAGGCGGGGCATCCATCTATCTGTCATTCCCTCCTCCTCCCCCACTGGCACCTCGCTCACATATTCCAGCACCACGCAACTCGCCTCGCCGACCTGCTTCTTGACGAACGATAGCATATTACCTGACAAGCGGCGTACCACGGCTGTGTCTCGACATTCTTTTCCACACATCTTTGAAGACTACGCCAACGTTCCCTTTGCTCGACGGCCTGCTCTCCGACGTCAGCGCATAGGACTTGCCCCTCCCCCACCTCGCCTGACCGGCTACCACCTTGACACACCGCACCCGTGCGCGCGCATCGAACGAACCTTCTTCCCATACCCCGAGGTGCAACCGTTTACAGACCTTTTCGAGATACACATCATGTCTTTGCCGAAGCGTATCGTCAAGGAGACCGAGCGCCTCATGGCGGAGCCGTATGCGCCCACTGCTGCTGCGTGCGTTCGAGCGAAAGCGACTGTAGACTGACAAGGTGCCTCGCAGGGTTCCCGGCATCAGCGCTGTCCCCCACGAGGACAACCTCCGCTACTTCGACGTCGAGATCCACGGTCCCACGCAGTCTCCGTACGAAGGTGCGTTTGCGCGAGACCCCTCTCTCCTCCCTGCATGCCAGTCTTCCTGCCGCGATGGCTAACTCGTGCATCAACAACCCCGCAGGCGGCATCTTCAAGCTCGAGCTTTTCCTTCCCGACGACTACCCGATGACGCCCCCCAAGATTCGCTTCCTCACCAAGATCTTCCATCCCAATGTTGACAAGCTCGGCCGCATCTGTCTCGACGTCCTCAAGAGTATGCCCACCAACCCCCCTGCAAAGACCCAATCACTTGCTAACCCTCTCTCCTCGCAAAGACAACTGGTCCCCCGCCCTCCAGATCCGTACGATCCTCCTGTCCATCCAGGCGCTCCTCGGCGCGCCCAACCCCGACGACCCCCTCGCCGCCGATGTGGCCAAGAGCTGGAAGGAGGACGAGCAGGCCGCGATAGCCACGGCGAAGGAGTGGACGGCAAAGTATGCCAAGGCTTAAAGGCTGGGAAACGAGTCACCGGCGAGGCGGAGGGTATTCACATGTTGAAACGACGTCACGAACAGGAGAGGGGGAGAGGAGGACAGATGCCTTTTGGGGCGTCTCCGGAATTGAAGAAGACAGCAGTTTTTTTTTAAGGTTCCTTCAGCCATGGTATCTCTTTCGTCAGGAATCCAGTTCCTTGCACTTTTTCTTCTTCTCTGGGTTCACTTTGCGCAAACGAGCTCGGCATTGGTCACATGCTGTGATTTGTGGCATATGTGACTGCAGTTGCAAATCGTGCCTTTCCAGAAGGATGCATCCAGCAGGGGGCCTGACAGCTCATGATTTGGGGGGTGCAGCGCTTGATGCAGTGAAATGGACTACTGGCCGCGCCTTGGCAACGAGGAGGGTCGGCCAGTGACCGTTGGGCCGTTGGAAAATGTGCATGACAGGACAAGCCGGGGAGAGCAAGCCGAGATTTTGGTCCCCTTTACCCTAAATGAAGGATGGCAAGGTCGCCCGAATCATGGAAAAGAAGGGGGGCTATGCTTTACCCTAACACCGCGCGCCGGACCCAATGATCAGGACATGTAAGGGGGCGTTTGCACAGCGAAACAGCTATCGTCACGACTCGCCTGTAAATAACACAAGCGGCCAAGGTTGAGATGCCGCACGAAGTACGGCTGGGCCCGAATGACGGTAAGCCTAGTTCCCGCCACTCATCCCCCCAACGGCTCGGTTCGATCGCCACGGCTGATTCTCCCTCCCTTTCGGCGCACGGAGGGCGTCGCGACGTTGGGAAGGTCCTCGCGGAAAGAATACCGGCAAATGGGTGCGGGTAATTAAACAGAGTCACACGTCCCGCCATGTTTCTTGGAGTGTTGTACATACATCTAGTTGGGACTGTAGGTGAGTAGTCTGTGTAGGTGCTGTTCAGTCAGTGCCTTGTGCTGCACGCAGCCAGCCCTACAAAGGCGTTCATGGCACTGCAGGCGATGCCGCATCGGGGAGTTCGATCGAGTTTCTGATGTGCTCGCGACGACACCCATGTGAAGAATGCTCGCCACGTCATGAAGCAACAGAGATGATCAAGCTGCGAAAGGTTGCGAACTATGTCTCGGGCTCTCAACCCAGCAATCCGAGGGCAGTGTCTCCGATTGCTCTTGTCTGTTTGTCTCGGGGGCAAGGCTCAACCCAGCCATGATCCGAGGGTGGCGGGTTTCCAGAAGCCGATGCAAGGGCCGTAGGCTGAAGTGACCCAATGGCGTTCCGCGAGGGTTTCTGTACTAACGCAGGTTCGCGGCACCAGTGATTGCCTGCATGCATGCTAGGTAACGAGAGACGGGGAATAGGCCTGGTGGCAATGGGGTTTGGCACGGGGGTCGCGTCGAGATGGCATTCTGGGCATCGCGACGTCTCGTGTGATGAAGGGCACTGGGGATAATTCTCTCGGCGTGAAATAGCGCCGACATGTCAGTTGTAGCACAGCGGCCGAGCGTGAAAACAAGCAAGCAAGTAAGCAAGCAATGAGGGGCTGCCACGATTCATACGTCACGCCAGGATGTCGAGAAAAGAAAGCACGACGCTCGTGAGCTGTCTTTGACAGATGGGCCGAATCGCATTGGCTCGGGCGGATGACAGACGCCATCAGGAAGCTCTTAGCTTCTTGGGTGAAGCTCGAGCGCGCGCACGAGCGCAATCGTCCATCCCCGCCCAGGCCCCCTCTCTCCCCCCCCAGGCTCAGAGCTCTCGTCAACATTGGTGCCTAACGGGTGAGCTCGTGGCATCGGGTCATTTTTTTTTCGCATTAGCTTCATCCGGAGCCTTACCGGCCCGGTCATGTTCCTACCCAAATGGCTGTAGTCGACTGCCAGTGGAGGCGTTAAAGGGTGAGATAGGACCAGCCACAGGAGAGGAAGAAGAAGGGGAGGAATGAGGAGGAGGAGGAGAAGGACAAAAGAGACCCGCTATTTTGGTTTCCGTCCCTTCAGCCCAGTCCCAGAACAGACGTCTGCCGGGGACGTGTTTGCCTCTTCTGCGTGTGAAGGGGAGCCAGAGAGGGGAAGGGCGAGGGCAGCACGAGGAGCACGAGGAGCAAGAAGGAGCTAGGTAGGTGCGAGGAGCTAGAAGGGAGGAGCTAGAGGGGACGAGCTAGGAGCTAGGAACAGGCAGGAGCAGATCCGAAAGAATACAGCGACCGACCCAGGGCCCTGAACGAACTTATTAACTCGATCGTCGGCCACAGCAGACACCCCCAGCCCCAATTCTGTCCAAACATCTTCATCATCCTGTTCTGCGACCCCTTTTTGCGTTCCTACAATCCCAAGCCTGTCCAATTGCGAACCTCGGTGCGGCGACAGGGTACAAGGACAAGAATAGTTTGATTCGACACTCGACTCGCTCAATTGCAACCGCGGCGACACATATTTGTCTGGCAATTGAAGCAAATAGAGCTCCCCCATCCAAGGGCTCCCCCGACTGACCCATTTCGCCGCATTGATAGCGTCTTTCAATTCGTTGCTGCTCTCTCGGTGGCTCTGGGCAACCAAGATCTCGTACCCACCTCGCCCGCAGTCGTCTCACTCGTCCCAGTTGACCTGAGCACCTTGACCCGGACAACGGCCCCGAGGACCCTGCTGCCAGCGTTGCGAATCGCCAACCAACCGTACTGCTCGGCTGTCTGCGACCTGCGTTGCGTTGTGACCTCAGACCCCAGCACGTCGCCTGCCTGCCTGCCCGTCTGTCGATTGCGATTACGCCACCCTTGTCCTGTGCCCCCTTCTTCGTCCTCCGCAGGGGCCCAGCATCAGAAGCAGAAGTACCTCCCTCCCAAGCCACGCAGAATTCGATTCGGCTCCAATTTCGCTCGGACTCCTCCTTTCTCCAGACCAGAGAGACACGACATCTGACATTTCGGTCGCTGTCGAAACGAAACACCCGCTCGCCCGTCATCGAACCCTTCTGTTCCACCTTTGAACAGGCGTCCATCCCGCGCCGCCGCATTCGCTTCGCCTCGCTTCACCACACAGCACGCCTCACCTGCTGTTGTTGTTCCCACAGACGCGGCGAACGGCCCTGACGTTGGACGGATCGATCCGCACTCCCGGCTCTGCTCCCTCGCGCGCTCAGACCCTTTTGCCTCCTTCCCCCTTCCTACTTACGTCCTGCGAGCCAAACTTTCCCTCCTCTGCACGATCAACCTTTTTGTCGAAGACACATCTCGATCCCACCCGTCACAATGCCGTCAGCTTCGTCCGCCTCGAAGCGCTTTGAGCTTCCCCAACTCAACTTTAACTTCGCCTCGCTGACCGAAGGCACCAACATTCCGCCGCCTCCCGACAGCCCTGTCAAGGAGGTGCCCACGCCACCCCAGACGCCGCCTGTCGATGCCAAGCAGGGCGAGAGCAAGCAGATCAAGCCCATCGACACTGCCGCTGCCGCTGCCTCGCCTGCCACAACTGCCACTGCCGGTACGAAACGACCAGCTGATGAGTCGCCTCTCTCTCCGGCCCCTTCGAGCCGAGCGGGAAGCATCCGCCGGCTCTTCAGCCGCAATTTACTGAACAATGCGTATGCAGAAGGCGAGACCCAATCGAACGGAAACGCACACGGTAATGGCCACGCCACCGCGGTGCCGGCCCGGCCCATGAGCCGCAGCAACGGCAGCATCTTTGACGAGAAGAAGGCCAAGCGCGGCAGTGGATTCTTCCGGCGATTGAGGACCAGCGAGTCCCCCGTCACCGTGAAACGATCTCCGTCCGTCTATGAGCAGCCCAACAACAGCCAGAGCCGGCCCGAGATTCGCGGACCTCCGCCACCCATGATCCCTGAGCTCAGCGCTCTCGAATCAAAGGTCGACGTGAACGATGGCGGAAGCCTCGGGTCCGACCTCTTCAAGAACATCAAGTAGATTTCTTTCCTCTGTGGCATGTGTTGCAGCATGCATGATTCGCTCCGCTTCCATTGTATCGCGGCGAGGGCGTCGCAACCCCAGCATTATTAATTACCAGTGTTGGAACCCTGGCTCGTCGTGCAACCGGCACCCCCCCTCCGGCTGCCACCACGGCGCGTGTACGAGCGAACGACAGAATCCGAGCGAACGCCCAACACGATCTTCTATCATAGTTGTCTGGAAACACGAACACACCCCCATTGACCCTTCTTCATCGCAGTGAGTTGAGGCCGGAGCTGGGGGAGAAGGAGAGGGAATCAAAGGTGGCAGCAGAGCAGGGCTGGCAGTTGCGTGAGGAGGACTACGACACACATTAAGACACCAACAAGAACAAGAACAAAGCCGAAGGCGGAGACCAAGGCAGACCCGGGGAGAAAGACGGAGGAGGAGGAGGAGGAGGAGGAGGAGAGCGGGAGAGAGAGAGAGAGAGAGATTCAAGATACCCAGCTCAATCCGGGCTCATTCTGACACACGACGTCTTCCTTTTGACACATTTATTTATTCCCCCTTCATGTCTCTTACCTTACCTTATTCCTATCTGCTGCCATTGCCTCATCATGTTTCCTTGCTCTACTTCTCGTTCTTGAAACCATCAAGCCATCTCTGGTCGGGATGGCCGCGTATGGGTCTCATTCGTGTCTTATCATGTATGTTCGCCACATGTTGCTGAAAGCGCGCGTTGGTGCTCTCTGGTCTTGTGTGTGTGTGTGTGTGTTCTGTCCATACTACATGTACATGGTCCATTGGGCTACCGCATACGGGCTGCATGGCTGGGTTGCTTGCTTCTGGCAGTCGATCCATAGCATCCAAACACTGCCATGTCAAAACTTGATAAAAGAAATACGCCCATGACCAGCCGAATGTTGGGTCGCCATCTTGTCTGTCTCTCTCTCCTATCGCTGCACCGTTGCCATGGTACGGGCTCCACGGTTGCAGTGGAGTTCTGTCCGCCCCCCCCTCCCCCCGGCTCAGGGGGATACAGGGGTCACCTCGGATGCGTCGTGCTTTAGCCTTACATCAGCAGCTGGGTCGTGCTTGTCATCCAATCGGCACGAGGATTGAACTCTGGGGTGCAGTGTGGCTGGCGAACGAAGCGAAGCCTCTTTTCGTTGCACAGCCGCACCACGGCATCTCGCACTGCAGCTCTGTGTGGTGCATGCCAGGTGTGTGCCAGGGTATGCCAGGTGCGTGCCGGGTGCGCGCCAGGTGCGAGGGGCTGTCCGTTCGACCGACAGCCAACCGAACGACCGACCTAAACCGACGTCATCCTTGCCGAAGCTCTCTCACGACTTCTTCTGCTCCGAAGCTTCGAAAGCTCGTGTCGTATGGTGTGCGTAGCCATCGAACAAACGTCCTTTCCACCAGACATTGACGAAGAACACACACAATGGCCACGCTCCGAGCTTCAAGGCTACGGCCCTTGTCGTCAGCATTGCGACCGGCCATGTCATCACAGACGCCATGCGCAGCCAACCTCTCTCGAATAGCAGTCAGGCACAAGTCGGGACCCTACGGCTACACCCAGGCCAAGGCCCTCGTCTTCTCCAAAGAGGGCGACCCTTCTGACGTTCTCTCGTACGCTTTTCCCTGCTTGCTTGCCTGCCCCTGCCCTCCCACGAGACGGCGTGCGCTGACACTTGACAAAGCCTCCACACACACTCCATCTCGCCCTCGCTGCCTGCGGGCTCTGTCCTCCTGCGTGCCCTGGCGGCGCCCATCAACCCGGCCGACATCAACACGATCCAGGGCACGTACGGCGCCAAGCCGCCCTTCACAACCCTCATCGGCACCGCCGAGCCGTCGGCCATCCCCGGCAACGAGGGCGTCTTCGAGGTCGCGGCCTGCGGGTCGCCGAACATGGACCTGAAGCGCGGCGACTGGGTCCTGCCCTTTGCCCCCTCCTTCGGCACGTGGCAGACGCACACCATCGCCGACGCCGCCGCCGTGCACAAGATTGACAAGACGGGCCTGACGCCCGTCCAGGCCGCCACGGTCCTCGTCAACCCCAGCACGGCCTACCGCATCTTGCGGTCCTACGGCCCCGGCGAGGGCGTGCGGCCCGACGGCCTCGGCGCCATGACGCCCCTGGCCCCCGGCAGCGGCGCCTGGTTCATCCAGAACGGCGCCAACTCGGGCGTCGGCCGCGCCGCCATCCAGCTCGGCCGCCTCTGGGGCCTGCGCAGCATCAACGTCGTGCGCGACCGCGCGACGCCCGCCGCGACGGCCGCCCTGCGCGCCGAGCTCGAGGCCCTCGGCGCCGACGTCGTCGTGCCCGAGTCGGAGTTCCTGGCCCGCGGCTGGCGCGACCGCCTCGCCGACCTGACGCGCGGCGGCCGCGACCCCGTCGGCCTCGCCCTCAACTGCGTCGGCGGCAAGAGCGCCACGGCCCTCGCGCGCTCGCTCGCCGAGGCCGGCACCCTCGTCTCCTACGGCGGCATGGCGCGCCAGCCCGTCGCCCTGCCGACCGGCCTGCTCATCTTCCAGGACCTGCGCTTCGTCGGCTTCTGGCTGAGCAGGTGGAACGACCGCGACGTCCAGGGCCGCCGCTTCGCCGTCGAGGACCTGCTCGGCATGATCCGTGAGGGCCGCTTCAAGGACGTGCCCGTCGACGAGGTCCCCTGGAGCTGGGACACCAAGGAGGACGCCCTCAAGGACGCCGTCGCCGGCACGCTGTCTGGCTACAGGAAGGGCAAGGGCGTTTTCGTCTTTGGCGAGACGTAGGCATCGGCATCAAGATAAGACAACAGTCAACATGCCGAAGAAAGTGTAAAATACAGTAAACAATTCAATTAGAAATGGTCTCCATGGGTCGCTGGCGTCAGGCAGCTTGCCCGGCTCGCGGCATCATGGGTTTGGAGCATAACCTTGTCCTACCTACAAAATTCCGCGCCACACCGGCCTAATTACGGAACGCCTGCACGAGCTCGTGCAGCTTGTCGATGACCACGGGCGCAATGGCGCCCAGAGTATCTTCAATGACGCGGTCAAAGTACCGAATAGCCTCCTCCTCGCTGAGCTCAAGGTGGAACCTCTCCCGAACCTTGAGCACCGCCTTGTCCGGCTCGAACCTGATGTCAGGAATGTTGGCATCAACCATGAGGCTAAACAAGTTCAGGATGAGGTTGGAAGACTTGCGAAGCGCCGCATAGGCCAGGAAGCAGTACTGCTTGAACTGTTTGAACTGGTCCGAGTTGACGCCACCCATGCAGTCGACCATTTCCTTCGACAGCTTCATGACTGGCGCGAACGGCTTCGGATCGCGTCCGAGGATGAACCCAAAGTCGGCGTGGAAAAAGTGTCCATCGGGGGCCAACAAAAGGTTGTCGAGGTGGCGATCGCCAACACCCAGAATGTACGTAATCACACAATAACCAGCACAGGACTTGACGTACGTGTCGAGCGTCTCCTGGCGTAGCCCGAGCGGCTGGCGGTCGTCGGGGTTGTTCGACTTGAGGTACGCCAGGGCGGGGTTGCTCTTGTACTTGGATGCAATGCTCTGGAAGCTGACTGAAGGCACAAATTGGGAGGCGCCGGCGCTCGTGCTTGTGGCCAGAATCTTGTAGGGCGATAATTTCAAGTCTAGATTCTCCTTTTGGAGCAACTGGTCCATGAGTGTAATGATTTGAATGACCAGTTGGTCCTGTCGCAGATCGTCTCCCATTTTGAAGATGATGGGATACTTCTTTCCCGTCGATGTCCTGAACGTGACCTTGATGGGACAGAGCGACGACTTGAAGACCGCAGTCTCTTCTGGAATGACACCGGTAATCTCGACCGATGGGTCAAGAGGAACGGGCAGCGGCGGGTCTATGGTGGCAATCTCGTTTTTGGGGTCCGCAAGGAAGTGTTTGACGCGCTCCGTCCTTCTTGCGATGGACTCGGAGGACATCTTGACTTCGCCTGAAATCTTGGAAAGGATGGCAACAAGTTCCGCTTGTCGCAGTAATGTCTTTCGCGACGCCGCCCCATCGGGTCTCTTGACCAACTCGGTCATGAAGTCATAAGCGACTTTGCGGTACATATCGCGGGTCTCCGGTCCTTGCTCGGGGCTATTGTCGTCGCACTCGACCATCAGGTACCAGTGGAAGTAGTTGCCAAGCATGAAATTGGCGGCGGCCCGGGAGATCAGGAAAGCAGCCAAGGATGAGTCTTGCGTGGCATCCTGGGCAGAGTTGGCCGAGATGTGCTCGTACTTGAGCGCCTGTACCAGCTGCAGCAGGTAGAGCAAAAGTTCGCGATCGTCTGCTTGGCGCAGCCGTTTGACAGCGTATGCACGAACAATCTGACTGTCGAAAGTAGGTCCCAGAAGCTCCAGGGCATCGTCCACATCGATCTCGATCCACCGCCCTAACACCTGGGCCGCTTGCTTGGATTCGCTCTGGTCCTGCCAGTTGACCGACTTGACAAACTTAGTGATTGCCCTCTTGTCCCTGGTCAGATGGTACCGGAACTTCCAGACCAGATCCTTCTCTTCCGTGGTGAGAACGTGAGTCGGCGAATATGACATGATGACGTTGAGCTCGTCGCGAACTTTGGCATTAGGCTTCAAGTCTTTGTCGAGAACGCCGTGTCGGTGCTGACTGCGGACGAGTCGTCGGTGCTTCGTCTCTGCGGGGTTGTCTTTGGCGCCAACCTCAGGGTCATATACCATGATCAACCTACTGCTAAAGCCTGCTGCGGAATCTCCGAGACCGTTGATACCCGGGCCGAACTGAACCTCCGGTACAGGTTTTAGAGACGCATTTGACTGTGAGCCAGACATGTTCTGCAGTGATGATATCGGCGGCGGCGGATACTCCAAGTCTGCAAACACAACCGGAAAATCAAATCGGGGCAGCTCAACGTTAAGCTGGAATTTGGATTGCACCCTGGCATCGTCGTCTGCTGTATGGTCGTCCTCTTGGCCATCAGTGGACAGTTCGCTGATCGCAGCCGCTCTCTGGCGTTGTCCTGCTCTGAGAGAGTCTTTTGCCGACTGCAGGCCCCTCTTCTCGAACCCGCGGAAGACGAGTTGGTCGAGCCAGTCCACTCTAGGGATTTCGCCCATCTCGTGCTTCTTGAACAGTTTCTCCATGCGTTCAAGTTCCTCTGCATCTGTATCAACAGCAGGCTTTACACCTCTCTTTGAAGCCCCCTTCTTCCTTGCTGTTGCTGGCGTCGTCGTGTTGTCATGGCCGTCGGCCTGTCTGTGGCGGTGTATGTGGCATTTTTGGCGACCCTTTTGGACCTGGTTATCGCGGTCGAAGAGTGGAAGTGTCGTGCCGCCGAAAGGTATCGCATGGCCTTGCGCCTCTCTGCCGCCTGCAGGAGAGAGGTCCCAAAGAGTGATAGCCAAACATGAGTTGAGGGGAAGGGTCGAGTATTCGATGGGCAGCGTGAGCCATTCGTTCCACCTGGGATCTTCACGTCAGCGGGTACTTCGAGCTCACTTGCTGAGCCGTGCCTACCTTCTTTCAGTACGGAAAGACTTGTAAGCAGTCTGTACAGGGACTGTCAAGGGCTTCGAGCCGGCCCAGACTTGGACGGTGACGTAGAGATCAGAGTGCGAGCTATATCGTCAGCCAGGCTGCAGCGACCATCAGCGCAGTAGGCGGGGCCCCAAACCTACCTAGTATTAGAGCCAACATGTCTGAGTTCAGCCCTTTCGAGCAAGGCGGACGGCAGCAGAGGGGTCTCATCGCCCTCCAAGTTGATCCTAGAGAGGTCAGTGAACGGTCAGCTAAGGCTGGTAGAGTCGGAGCTTACACTCGGATGCTGACTGGGTAGTTCAGCGAGTCTGAAGTCGCGAAAGAGAAAGAATCCATATCACCCGAGAGCCCCCATGGCAGGTTCAGATGTTGGTGTTGGACTAGGTGTGGTAGTATCGACTCCTTGGAGGGCGCGCGGTCACTGAATACGTGGGATGCAAGGCACGTACACCACGAGCACACATCAGGCGGGCGTCACTGATAAGATAAGAGCTCGCGACCGTACATGTGCCGGTACCTCTGTTGTACTTGACGGATGCGCGGACGCCAGCATCACAATGGTGCCCGTCTTCGCTTGCGCTTTGTTCCTTTCTATGAGATCGGCTACGTGTTCGCCTCGGAAGACTAATAAAGCTGCAAAATCACGGTCAAGGGCTTCAGAGAGCAGTTTCCCAAGTCAGACACCTCATTGTCATTACCGAAACCCAGGGTGGAGAGGTACCCAGTCCGCCTTGCAGGTTAAGTACCCCGCGCGCCGGGGCGCATACCTGCCTTGCCTGCCTGTGAGCGAGCCTGAGGAGGCCCCACCAACTTTAATGGCTCCTGTGGATGCGGTTTGCCCGTCGCGTCTCCCCACGAGCGTTCAAGTCTCGACGCGACGCCGAAAGTCATCGGTGCGCTTCAACTCTTCGGCACCACCAAACAGCTAGCCCGAGAAGCCATCGCATGGCAGCCGTACGCTATCCGCGAAAAGCCTTACGACTCAATCTGCAGGCTTGATAAGGCACGCGCCTCACCACCATGCCTGTGAGCGCATCATCTTCAGGGGGCTCGTCCTCGCCAGCCGAATCCGAAAATGAAGGCACGTCCAGCAACCGGGAGCACTCGCTCGCCCTCAGAGATCGCCGGAATGGCAAGAGGAAACGCGCCGATACTGCGCATGGGGCAGCAAGACGTAGGCGCTCTTCGTCTTCTGACGACGACGACGACGACGACGACGAGAACGACCCCGACATGTACGATCCGGACCAGCCGATGGAGGACCGACGGCGCATTCAGAGAGGGTTTCGCGATCTCCAGAAGAATTTGAACGAGAACATGGAGGAATACATGCAGCCCAACTCGAAAGGCCTGCTCGAGACTCTGAGGCGCGCCCAGCAACTCTCCAGCGACGTGAAGCAGACGAATGAGGCGACCATAGACGCGCGGCTCCTGGTGAGCACAATCGACCTTTCCTATCGCAAGACGATGCGCATGGTCCAGGGCAACACCTCACAAGGCGTCGACATTGACGAGTTTGTGTCCAAATGTATAACGTACATGCGACACGGTGGGGGTATCGCCGACGACAACGCGCCAGCTCTGTCGAGCACGCAGCGCCAACGACGGAGGAGGGGACAGGACGGGGATGACGATGAAAACGACGAAATGCTGAATTGGCCTCACCTTGGTCGCTTTGCGTGCCTGCAACACAACCGACGGCCCGCGCTGTCCGGCTTCCTGGTCGGACCTCTGTCGGTGGAGAAGAAGGTCCGCAAAATCACCAAGCGGACAGCACGGTTCCGCAGAGAGGATCTTGCCGAGACCAGACCAGAGGTGTTGAACGTGGACGAGCTGTCCAAGAAGGAGAACGATCTCACCTCAATCTGTGCCAAGATACTGAAACAACTGAGGGAGGTTCAGATGGACGCGCAACAGAGGTTGTCGGAGATCTTCGAAGCAAGGCAGAATATGCAGCAGAGCGACATGATGAAGATCATGCACGAGCACGGCTTGCGTGACACGGGCGGCGTGGATCTGTTGAGGTTTGTCGTCAACCCCATGTCTTTTGGCCAGACGGTCGAAAACATGTTTTACGTCAGCTTCCTCATCCGCGATGGCAAGGTCAACGTAGAGTTTGATCAGAATGAACTCCCATCATTGAGTATGTTCTGTGCACTGTATACAGCATGAAACCATGAAGCTGACTTGGTGCAGGCCCCGTCGACGCAGGCGATGCAGAAGGCGGCGCAAAAACCGGTGCTATGAAGCACCAAGCTATCTTCTCCATGGACATGAAGACCTGGCGAGACATCATCGACACCTTTCAGATTACGACGCCAATGATTGAGCACCGGCAGGAGAGTTCTCAACAAGGACCTGGTGCAAGGGGCTGGTACAGCTAACCTCGGCTGAACGTGCATCATTTTCACGGCGTTATGGCAGCGATACCTTTGTGCAATGGAAGTTCTGGCTTTGAATACCCTAGAAATTATGCTGTCATCAAGTGTCACGAACCCCGAGTACTTCTCACAGAGGAGTCTATCCATTCATCCACGGCGTCGCAATGCATCAGCGAGTTGTATAGAACTGATACCTGTAACGCTCCATGCTACTGTGTTATGGCAGACCGGTTTGCATTCTGTTACTCGAGATTCAAGGAGTGTGTGGCGCATATTCCCTTGTCCATGTTCATGTCGTGCGTGTTCCGCCAGGATTGACTCCACAGTCGGTTTCCAGCAGCCAACGACCATGGCCTCTGGGCATGTCGCCAGCGAGAGCATCGAGTCCGTCAAAGATGTCAAATCATATTCTTTGAGGCTTTGTTCGACTGCCATGCTCATTGCTTTCCATGGACTCGCCTTGACAGGTGTGGCACGCAACGCTCTTTGTTCTCCTTGTCCGGACGAATACATCCGAATTTAGTGGCTCTCGAGAATGGGAGCTCTCATGACAGGTAGGGAAACTAAGATGGACAGAACTGCGGAAAGCAAATTGTTCTTTGTGATGAGAAACATGTCTTATACACCGTTGCCGAGATGGTCATGCAGCTGCCCTCTGAATCCCTTGATCACAATTCCATACCAACCATTTTTGCCGTTTGAAACCATCAACTATTAGTCCTCCTTTACTTTGAGATAGTTTACCGCCAAAACGCCCACCAAAAAGAGAACTCAATTACCATGAGTGAGAAAGATGAGGACAAGGCTGCCGAGGGCCGTGTCGGAGACGGTTTAGCCAGCAGCTCGTCTCCCGAAAGCCAAAAGCGCTCGCCAGGCCAATCAAGACGTAAGCCCCTGCCCGGCATTTTTACGCAACGAGCCCCGAGCTTCTCCAGCCGCGCCACCGGAACGCCTCTTGAGAGCGGGATCGGCCGGCGAAGCATGGCCGTCGATTCTCCGTTTGGCCGGCTTCCCCTAACGGCGGCCAGAGGCACGCCGAGCCATACGTTCATGTTCGGCGGCTACAGCGGGCTCGAGGAGATGCGGGAGGCGCTGGAGCGACAGGCGAGTATCATTGACAGGATGATTGTCGCCGAAAAGGAGGTCGCTGCCGAGGCCGAAGACGCCAGGAAAGCCCGCATTGAGGCTGAGCTCGCGGCAGAGGAAATGGAGCGACGGGTGGAAAGCCTGACCAAGCAGCTCAGTATCAGCCAAAATGATCGGACGACTGCCCCTAGCGGACCAGTCAGCGAGAAGCTGACGCCCACACAGCGGGAGAAGGCTCTGTGGGAGGAACTTGTGGAGGCAAATACAAAGGTCTCGAGTCTCGAGGCCAAGGTGTTGGAGTCGAACGAATCAGCCTGTCGCGCAGAGAAGTTCCTCGGAGAGACCGAGAGCAGGCTGGCAGTGGTTGAGGAACAGCATGAACGCGACAGGGAATCTTGGAGATCAATGTCGTATAGAAAGAAGTCCTACGCCGATGAAACCCAGACGCACAGAGGAAAGGGGAAAGATGGTTCAAGCGATAGCAAGGCATCCACAAAGTCCGACTCCACGAAACATGCAAGCGACTCGGGAGATGAGAGGAGGAAGAGACCGCCTCCTTCGACTACTGATACGTCGTCCAATTGCCCCATCTATGAGGAAGAGGATGTGACGGGTGAAGTGCACCTGGAGACCTCCGGTTCGGAGGACGATTACCCAGACGACAAGATAATGCGCGGCCATACACACGTCGGCTGGAGCGAATCAGTCAGTATGCCTCGGGCTGACTGGGAAGCCGTGCTGGACGAATACTCAAGGTTGCAGAATATGAAGGAGATCTTTCAATTTGGCGCTGCAGCACAAGATTCACTTCGTGCGGCCGCTGATGCCGGCCGAGAGAGTGAGTTGCTCGAGATCAGTGATCTCGAGGCTATCTTGCAGGAGAGTTTCGATCCGTGGGCGCAGGAGGAGAATGAAAAGGAACAGGAGGCCGACGACTCAGTAAGTCCTCGGAGTAGGCCGAATAGGCATCCCTTGGTGCTGACCAGCGTGAAGTTCTCAGACAAGGCAACAGTGAAGGACGACGGACAGCATAGTCCAACACGGACCGAGGAGTGGGACCAGGAGGTGGCCAAATTGGTGAGGGCTGTACCTTGTTGTTGATGATACAGTAACAGATGCTAACCAAGAGCTCTCAGCAATCTGAACTTATTAAAATCGAGAGGGAAAAGTCGACTCTCGGCAAGCAGTTGGCAAGCGCTGGGTCAATGATCGAGGGAATGAAGCGCAACTCGAACGAGCGTACAGTCAATGCAGACGCCACCAACAAGCAGTTTCAACATATCGACAAGGCCCTCAAAGAAAAACATCAAAGGCAAGCAGCCCTCAGTAGAGCATATGAGGCGAGTTCGGAAAAAGAACGTATCGACGAGTTACGCGAATCGTTGGCTTCCAGCGCCAAGGTATACAGGGAAGCTTTAACAAGACTGCCTGATGTACCTGGCCGAAGATTGGTTAAGGAGCACGACATGTGCCAGGAACAGGCATCTGCACTGGAGCAACGACTGGGCAAGCTCATGACGCAAATGGCCGATAAGTCAAAGGAAATGGGGACGCAACTCACCAAGCTCACCTCCGAGGCGAACGAGCTTGAGATTGCGCTTTTCCAGGCCGAAGATCGATACGAAGTGGTACAAGAACCGCTCCGAAAACGGCTTCAGCAAATCAAGCGTGAGCTCGAAGAAGCACAAGAAGCCGTTGCCGCGGCGATCCAAGACCTCTATCATGAGACGCATCAATTGCATGGACACAAGAACGAAAGGGGGAATGATGAGGAGAAGGACAGAGAGGGGGTGCTCGACCAGCCACATGTCAGAAAGCTTATCAAGTGGGTTAAAAGCCTTGAACACGAGTTAAGGCAGGCCAAGGGGAACCATGATGAACTGGAAGTTCGCGTTGCAAGGCTTGAGGCGTGGCAGAAGACAACTGCAACAAGGCTTCATGCCACAACAGGGGATCTGAAAGGTGTCAAGCAGGGACAGGACGGCGTCCAGGAGAACTTTGAGGGCGCGCCCGAGGGGCCCAAGACAAACGAGCCGGGGCCGTGGCGGTCCTTGTCAGGCCTGGAATCGACCCTTCGCAGCAACGTCTCGGCCTGGAGGCGTCTGTTGAGTTTTGTGTGGGCAGGCTTTCTTTATCTCGGGATCTTGATGCATGACTTGGTTTTGGGAACGAATCAGCGAGTGGCGGCATGGTCCAAGATGATATCTCCGACGAAGCTGATGCAGAGGGGACGACCATTTCGGTGGCCGCAGCTTCAAGCAAGCGACCTGGTCGTTGTGCTATTCCATGTGACTGTATGGGCCATCATTCTCAAAGCAATTTTGACATGGTGGGCGCTGAAGGAGCAGCAGGACATGTGGTTCAGAGCAAACGGCCTGACGAGGGCGTACTACCACGACATGACTGGATGCGATCCCATTATGGTGGATGAGCGATTCTTCAGCGACGGGTTCCGCATGGTCAACCAAGGGCTTGCAGCTATTCCACGATGGCTACTGCTGATGTTTGACGCTGCAAGACGGGGTTTGGAGGCATGTCTCGGTGTGAGGAGAATATCGGCGTGATTGGGATAGATGATGCGGGTTCCAATAGATATGCTTGGGTAGGCTAACTCAATCTGGTGAATATCACGACGAACAGAAATGACAGATTTTTTTCTTCTTTTTGACTAGTACTGCAGGACTCTCATCGTCTAAGGTTGCGCAGCCAGATAGGTCAGTCAGGAAGATGTGATCCGGCGTTGAGGGAGGTCTTGTCGTTGATGTTGATGGTGATCGAGTCGCTTACCGAGCACCAGCCAAGTGGTGCCTCAGTTTGTGAATTTGGAATTCTCAGGACTGCGGCTGGTGGGACTGTCCCACTGTGGCTTCCACTGATGACAATTGCTAGGTACGGACCTAGGCCTCAAGGAGACCAGGCCTCGGCATCCAGTGGTGCTGCCGTGGGGCACATGCTGGAGGCGCCGGGAACTTGCCACTGGCAGGTCCACCCGGTACTTCAGTTCAGGTCGCCTGGCTTGCTCGGGTGGTCCGCCCAGGAAGTGACACCCCAGTGATGTCATGACTCTATTGGCCATCTTTGCACCACCCAAGGAAGTAGCGAGTCGCAGCGTTCACCTTCCGTCAGTCGACCGACGCGGGGCGGGTGCATTCGTGATCGCAAGCGGCCAGATGTTCCCCCGCTGCCTTCATTTCCATGTCCAAGTGTAGCAGCAATTCCAATTACTTCCCTGTCTGCAGGCTGCTCACTGTTTGCAACCATTTGCTTCTGCTGTCTGGACAGTCGTGGCCTCGCATCACCTCGAGTCTCAAATCAGAGAACCACACATACTAGTACCGACAAACAGCCCCTTCGGATACCTTACAAGCGGCCTGCATCAATTGATCCGAGGCTGAACATCCACACACCCCAAATAGCAGACCGAGTCGGGGTGTTCGTCAAACCCGGGAATGCCGTAGAGGAGACCTTGACCGTATTATCCGAACTGAACGAAGCTCCATCGATCCAATGCCGCCGGCATCCCCACTGGAATTTTCTTTGCTGTTGGTAAGCTCATGTCCCAAACTCAAGCCCGAGCCCAGCCCTCAGTCTTGCATCATCACCATCATTGTGTTCGCAAGTTCTTCGTCACCCCACCCTTCTTATATAGCCTCGTCACCACTCTCAACCTGTAGCTGATTCTTTACTTTTCCACGTAACAGCGAACCTACAGATACCCATTGCGCATCACACCTTTACTACGAACACAAACATCTTTCGGCCGAATCTTTCACCGGCGTTCCTTCAACTCGAGCAGCTCCAACTCCAACAACAGCTCAGCTCACAACCAATCGTCGTCATCCAATCAAGCCTCGAACTCAACCCTCAAAGCGCAACATACCGCATTCGACTCTCCAGATCAATCTCTTGCGGATCGCACTTCGTCTCCTGAGTCCACCACTGCTTCAGCAACTAGCCTGCCCAACATGTCATCCAAACTCATACCTGCCAATCCCGCCGACGTTATGGTCATTCGTGACGTGACGCCCAACATCACCACCTTCTCCGTCCCCTTCTTACGCTTCGGCACGATCAAGGTTGGTGGTCGCGGGACCCTGGTGCGCTTATCCACCGGTACCCTCGCCATCTTCTCCCCCGTCGCCTTGACCGACGACGTCCGCGCCAAGATCGCCGCCCTGGGCACTACTGTCTCCCACATCATCGCCCCCGACATTGAGCACCACATCTTCCTCTCCGAATGGAAGGCGGCCTTCCCCGATGCCAAGCTGATCGGCCCGCAAGGCCTTCCCGAGAAACGCGCCAAGCAGGCATCCAGCGACGACAAGATCCGGGACGACCCCTTTGCCGTCGTTTTCGAGGCTGGTCCCGCCAAGCGCGACCTCCGCATCGACCCGGCCTTCGATGCCGACTTTGATTACGAGTTTGTAGACGCTCACCCCAACAAAGAACTCGTCTTCTACTTCCGCCCCGATCGTGTCCTCATCCAGGCCGATCTGTTTTTCAACCTGCCTGCCACCGAGCAGTACTCTCGGGTACCCGACGCTCAGAAAGCTCCTGGTCTTGCCGATAGGCTTTTCGGCAGCCTACAGACGACCGAAGGCGACGGCAAGTGGGCGAGGCGCGTCCAGTGGCACCTGTTCAGCGCCAAGGACCGAACGGGCTACAGCGAGAGCGTCCGCCGCATTGCTGAGTGGGATTTTGAGACGGTCATCCCCTGCCATGGTGACACCATGGTCGGTGACGGTAAGGAAAGGTTCCTCAAGGTCTTCGCCTGGCATTTGAACGGCGAGAAGAAGCTCTGATCACCTTGTCCGTCATGTTCTCATCATGTTCTCATCATGTACAACAATGTGTTTTTCCTTGTCGTCTCTTTGATACCAGTTTCTATCGTAAACCTGTCAATTCATACTCATAATAAGTGTACATGTTTACTATGTTCACGTTGACGAAACTTGCCATCTCAAGCCAACTCATGCCGTCCTTGCGTGCCTTGGAAGACGGGAGCCTCGAACCTCCGCGGATCCTCGGGCGCCTCGGCCCTTCCTGCCGTGGTATGCCCCACCGGAGCCTCGAAGACGGCCGAGTCGGCGCCGGCCTCCTGCACATCCCGGGACACAGTCGTTGGCAGCTCGCTACTGCCGGACACGGGGCTCCACGGGCCAGCGGAGCTGAGGGTACCCTTTTCACCGTCGGCATCGGTCGGGCTGGACGCTGCGGCGGCAGCCTCGTTGGCTTCAAGAGCGTCCGCCGCTGCCTTTGTCTTTTGAACACGCCGGCGCCAGAGGAAAAAGAAGATGAGAGCCGCAAGAACACCGAGACCGCCAACACCGATACCGACGCCGAGGCCGATTTCGAGGGCATTGGAATCGCCGCCTCCGCCGCCGCCACCGCTATCGCCGCCAGAGCCGGACTCGACGGCCGAGGTGGCAGCATCGGCGGGTGAAGTGGAGGTCTGGGAGGCGCCGCCGGACGTCGCCGAGGAGGAACCTGACGTGGACGTAGGCGACACACCTATCGTGGTCACGGCGGACGGGGTGCCGCCTGGATATGGTTGTTAGTTGGTGGGGTTCGTTCATGCGTCACACGGAGACAGGGGTCGGCCGAGCTTGGATGTGGTGCTTGGAGCTGAACGTCGGTCGGCGCTCGAGCGTTGATTAAGCTTCTTGCTAAGCTTCCGGGAAACAACAAGCCTATCTGCTTCCTGTCTGCTGTCTTGGCGCGCAGCGCGCGAGGGACAAAGGTCAAGAAGGAAAGAAAAAAAGTAGTAGAAGAAAAAGACGGAAAGAGAGTTGGAAGGAGAACGTACCAGAGAAGCGGATGACCTCCTCTTCCTCGTCGCAGTCGGCGGCGTCGTCCGAGTTGGCACAGTAAAAGGCGCCGGGCACAGCCTGGCATGCGGCGATGGGCTGGGGCACGTTGAGGTTGTCGAGGTCCTCGGCATTGGTGCACCACCGCGGGCAGTCGGGGCTCGTCCAGGTCTGGTCGGTGCAGGCGCCGCGCACGAGGGTTGCGCCGGCGAGCTGTGCGGGATCCTGTCCGGCGGCCATACAGAGGCCGTTGCTCAGACAGGCCCAGCCCTGGTTGCAGCAGTGCGAGTGCGTCGTGTCGGCGCCGCCGCCGCCGCACGGGGCCATGTCGGCGGCGGCGGCGGTGCTGTTGGGGAAGAAGCAGGGCGCATCCGTCGACTGGGCTGCTGTCGTCGGGAGGAGAAGGGCGAGGGCGGCGGAGACGATGAGGAGGAGAGGCGGGATGCCATGTGTGCTGCTGCTACCCGTCGGTCCCCGTCTCGCCAGGGAACATGGTGTCTGGCGTGGACTGTTCATCACGTTTGGTTGTTGGTCGAGTCAAAGCCCAGCTTTAGTCGTACTCATGAAGTGTTGGCGAGCGAGCGTTGTGGCGCCAAGCAGCAGCGTTGGCAGCGTTGGTGACAAGATGTGCTGATGTTGATGGTCGTGGTGATGAGGGTTTTGATGGTAGTGATGGCGACGATGATGATGATGGTTGACGACCAGGTCGAAACGAACGAAACGGGCATCAAGACATGAGAGTGACCCAAACCCGGAACAAGACATCAACCCCCCTGCCCTCGAACGCAGCCCAACAGCAGGACACCCGCCCTTTTTACAATATCCCCGAGTTCACCGATCGACAACCGGGGTAGCCGTACTCTGCCCAAAACACACCCAGCCCGTGCCCCCCTCCCCCCCCGTCATGACTTTGATTGACTCTTTTTCCCACGCGCGAGACACAGCGCCTCGCCCCTCCCCTGCCCTTACTCTCGCTCTCGTTCACGAAGCGAGGGCCGATCCACCCCCCTCTGGGTCTGTCCAGTTTCGATTTCACCAACCCGGAGAGCGCAGAGCGCGAACGAGCAGCGCGGGCGGCCAAGGACAAGCAGAGCCCGCGCCGCTTGGCCCGTGGCGGAGCAGCGCGCCGTTTCGCTGCGTGGGGCCTGGCGTGAGCGGTGGAATCAAGGTTATGGACGATCCCTAGCGCGTGGCCATGCTTTCTTGTCGCCGCCGCTCTGCTGCCGGCACCAGACAACCAGACCAGAAGGGTGGGAAATGGGAAATAACACACAAGAAAGAAACGGCTCTTCTCACTGGGGCCGGGGCTTCAGCACAGCCGGGATGCCCCCCCCCTGGCCAACCCAATCTCGACGCTTGCTGTGGTGCCAAGGGGATGCCAAGTGGACACTGGTACTGGTGCCAAGCGGCACACACTGCCCTTCGGCGCAGGTCTGACCTATTTTTTGACACAGCGTTGCTAGCTTCGCTGTCTAGCTGCTCCCCGTTGCTACTGCGTGCGTACGACTGCTGGGGGAGGGGAGCTGGAGAGCTGGGGAGCTGGGTGGTGCTGCGCAACAGGTGAATGCTTCGCCCTGTTCGCGTCAAGATGATCATCACACCACTTTTCCTTTCTCACCCCGCCTGCCCATGGATCCCCGTCTCTCTGCCTCTGCTCTGTCTCTGTCTCTCTCCACACACCCCAGGGTGGAGAGGCCGTGGTGGCCGTGCTGGATAATGCCACTGACCCGTTTCGTTTCATCTCTGCATCGCTCTGCGTCTGCAAGCAGCGCTACCAATTGTGAGCACAACATCATGAGACGATGACGCATTTCCTGATTTCATGTCTCCCCCACTTTCCTTCCTTACTCGTTCTCCGGGGATGGGGAGGGGGGGGAACATGGGCATCAAAGAAGATTGCTCTCTCCTATCCTATCGGGGGCCCCCCCCGCTTTCGACGGAATCCAACGGAGCCGGTGACCGGGCTCCGAGTCAGCTGCCGAGCCTGGCATCCGAGACGAGAGGAACATGGTGGAGAGCCCTTCAGCACCAGCCCTTGCGCTTGACCTTGGACTTGACTTGGACCTGGACGTTTCTCTGCTGCCCAAGAATGCCCGCCGGCCCCACACGCCTTGAGGTGCCTGTCGACGCCCCTACAACGTGGATCGCGGATCCCCTCACCGATCTCCGGTCCCTTACGCGTCTGTCTCTCTTGTCGGCAGGGCTGCCACATCAAAAAAAGGTCTGGAGGCGCGGGGCGGGAAGAGCGTGCCTCATGCCATGTACGGTGCAATTATTCAAAACACGTGTTGACCAACAACACGGTCCCTCGTGTCTGTCTCTGTCTCTGCCTCTGCCACTCTCCCTCTGCCTCAGCCTCCACCTTCGTCTTCGCGTCTTTTGACATGACCTCAGCCCCCCCCCCCAGTCGTCTCCTTCGCGCATTCTCTCTCATCCTCTCGCTGCCGTCCCCCTGCCTTCCCTTCCCAGTCCGTTGATCCCGTCTGCTGCCCGCCATGATGATAATGATGACGATGCTGATGATGAAAAAAAAAATCGGGGACGGGTCGGTGGCTGTGGATGAACGCAAAGGCTGTAGCTGTACCGCTGGTATCAATCCACCTCTACTCAAAACACACAAGAGAAAAATCCTGCTACGCGTTGTCGCCCATGTCCCCCCTTCTCCTCTTGCAGCCAACGAAGCACGCTCTTGCGTCGCGCCGATAGGGGGAAACGACAATCCTGAACCTGCGTCTTTTGCTCTTTCACCTACACTGTCCTGCTCCCTCGCCACGTCTCCTCCCTCGCTGCTTGCCAGAGGATGTTAACCCCTCCCCGTTCATATAGACTGTGGCGGAGGTAGCTCGGACCGCCTGTTGTTCTTCCAAAAGTCCAGCGCCTCCACAACGTCCTCTCCCTTTTCGTCCTCGTACGCAAACAGAATCTAAGGCGAGCCGTGGTTAGTTCCCCTCGCGTGGCTTGCAGAACGTGTCAGGAGCATGGACTCACCTCGTGTGTGCTGCTGTGCAGCATGCGGATGTTCTTGTGCGGCACAATGTGCACCGCCCCGTTCTCAATGTTGCGCAGCTCGATAAAGTTGGCCTCGAACGCCAAGATCCACGGGTAGCTCAGCGCAAAGCTGTGCGGCGCACCCTCCCAGTCGATCCGCCACTCGGGCCGCGCGCGCCAGCCGTTGCGGTTGACAAAGAAGGAGAACTCGGAGTAGTTGAGCAGGAACTCGCCATTGAGCCGCTCAATATGGATCGGCTTGACCGACTCCTTGCGCGCCACAAAGTCGAGACTCGTGTCGGCCTGGTCCAGCAGCGACTGCGTCTCGAGCGTCTCGAGCGACACGACCTCGAAGCCCCGCGCGCACGCCACGCAGAGCTTGCTCTTGAGGAAGTGCACAGACGACGACTCGGTCGGAATGTAAAACTCCTTGAACGGCTTGAGCTCGTCCTGGCCCGCAAACATCTTGCCGAAACCCTTTTGCTTCTTGCCCTTGTTGAAAGCATCCGTCGGCTCGTACACCTTGATCGTCGTCGAGAGCGCCGACGACTTGACACAGCAGACCAGGTGCCGTCCCAGGCAGATACCCGTCTTGAAAAACGTGCAGTGGCTCTGGATCTTCTTGCCTCGCTTCGACGAAGCCGGCTCGGTGGGATCCAGCGCTGCGATGGCATACGAATACACTGCCTTGTTCGTGAGCACCAGCAGCAGCCCGTACTCTTCGAGGATGTCAATCTGCGTCACCACCGCCGTCTCGATGACCCGCTTCGGCATCATGTCCTTGTTCTTGCGATCCGAGACGTAGATGCCCGTGTCCGTACCGTAGATCAGCTTGCGACCACCGTCGCATGGCGTCACGCAGTTGATCTGGTTCGCGCCCACAAAGTAGTTGCTCGAGATGACCGTCGTGTTGAAGAAGTCGGCCCTCGCCCTCAGCTGCTTCTGCGCCTTGTCGATGAACTGCAGCCACTTGTCACGCCCCGCTTGGTTGGCTGCGTACAGCGTCAGCTCGTATCCTGCCTTGCCCAAATGGCGAAACGTGATCGGCCACCCTTCGCTCTTCTTTCCGTCCTTGGCGTTGTTGCCACCCAGCGGGAGAAGACTCGAAGAAGTGCGCTTGACCCCTTGCTGAGGGATGACTTCGTCCATCTCGCGAATCGCCAACAGCTCCAGAGGAATCGGCTATGCATCATGTCAGTATTGCTGCGGCTGCACCACGGGGCCCACACGCAGGCACAGATTACTCACCCTTCTGTACGCCTTGATTTCCTCGGCCTTGCCAGCTTGCTTGACCCGCACGAGCAGGACCGCGTGGTCGAACAAGTAGGATGTAATTTCGTTAGCGGGAGATGAGTCGTGCGGCGTCTTCCTCAGCTGGCTCTTGAAGACAATCTCTCTGCCCTCTTCCGTCAGCCTGAGCTCGACGCGCTCGTTCGGTCGGAAACGCAGCTGCTCATGCAGTCTCTTGAGGTGGAATCTGTTCTCGGCCTTGCCTGATTCGCGGTTGACCCTGCTCAGCAGATCGCGAATCACGGTCAGAACCTTGGGAAGGTCCTCCTTGTCCGAGTTGCTTTCCTCCGAGTGCTTCAGCACCGCCTCCAGCAGAAGTGGATAACGCGCCAATCTTGTCGTCGGCTTGGTCAGATAACCGTTGAGTTCCAGTTTCCGGGATTCCTTGCGACGCTCAATCTCTTCGACGAATTTGGCGAAATAAGGGTTGATGCTCTTTTCGTTCTCAAACTCGTGTTTCGCCTCCATCTGCTTCGAACCGTACCAGATGAAAGGCTCGAATTGCGGGACGAACTCGAGGAACACATCTCCCACGTTGTGGACAACGGGATTCTTCTGCTGGCGTTCCGTCAGTGCCCTCGCAAACCGTGAGCTGACGAGGTGCAAGCTGGGATGGTCGATAATATTGCTGAAGATGGCCTTGACAACCCTCTCGCGACGGCTGATCGGGATGGGGGAGGCCTTGGATCGCAAAGGCAAGATCCAGAAGTCGCGTAGATACTCCAAATCCTTGACGAAGTCCCGCTCCGTGTAGCAGATTTCAGAAATGACCTCCTGGCGCTTCTTCTCCTTGTCATCCACCTTGTCGGCAATCTCCTGAGGAACCGAGTTGATCCAGAGCTTCTGCTCGTCCGTTTGGTCGACATCATCGGCGTCCGCCACTGCGCTGTCCTCCTTCTTCAAGCCGGGCTGGATCTTCAAGTTGAGCCTGGAAACCTGCTCTAGCCTCCTGGGGCACGCAATCGAGTAGCAAAGGTTGTCTCGCGTGCACGTGGGTGAGTAACACTCGGACAAGAGTACAAATACACCGTTGACGGGGTTGTCGTCAGGTTGATCGGTCAGAGTTTCGCGGAACTGGTACATTTCCGATGTCGAGTCGCGTAGACGGTGTTCGTAGGTGACATCGTGGAAAAACTTCTGCGCATCGAGCGCACGACCCAGAAGAAGAGCCAGGTTTCGATCAGTGGTCCTGATGATGTACGAAAGAACATCCACTGCCTCCGCGCCGCTGAAGGCGCTCTTGTATGCCAGCTCGTTCTTGGTGCGGTCTCCCGTGATGATCTTGTGCTGGAAGCACTCGGCGACTCTTGAGAGCATGGCGGGATAGACCAGAGGTGCTCTGATTTTCCCGGTGGGGGGACGCTCACCGTCGGTCGACTTGACGGATTTCGTGCTCATGGACGGTCGGTGCCCAAGCGTGGTATCGGAATCGGCGGGTGTGACTGGGATCGTGATAGTCGAGGCCATTGACATTGTTCTCTGGGTGTCGGCGCTCGAGGACACCATGCTCGTGGTTCTGGTCTGTGAGCCCGGCGCTGGAGGATAGCCTCCGTTCGAGTACCCGGTGTTTGGTACGCTGTTGCTCGTCGGTAGCTCCACGGGAGCCCTACGGTTGGGGATGACTCGGCCACTCATGGTCTGGTAGGAGCTGTGCTGGCCGTCTCGTTCTTGAGGGGGGAATCCACCCGTCATGGACATGGATCGGTCATCGTGGCGTTCGGGTACGACGCGACCCTGGGCAGTTGTTCGTGATGAGTTGGGGTTGTAGGGAGCATGACGAAACGCGTTGGCAGGCGCCTGTTGCTGGTAGGCGCTGGGAGGGGGCTGATAATGCGGCTGTCTTGGTGCTGACGCAAGAGACTGGGAGCGATAGGGGTCGTTGTTCATGCTCGGGGCAGGGCCGCCTTGGTGGAAGCGCTGAGCGGCGGTCCTCGCTCCGGCCGCTCCTTGAGGAGCGCCGCGGGAGTCGGGTCGAGGCGGCGGCGGACCACCATACCGGCGCTGTTGTTGCTGCTGTTGGAGATATTGTGACTGCGGAGACGAGACTTGGTATCCTCCCGAGATGGACCTCTGCCCGGGGTAGACGCCGCCAGCGCTGGCATCCCCGTCCATGGTTCGTGTCCTCGGCGATAGTGGCTGTCGGTCGCCATACTGGTTGGGGATCGGCTGACGCGGCGGCGGTTGTCGTTGCATAGGGGGCGGCATGCCCGACATGTTGGACTGCATGGTCTGGGTCCTACCCTGAGACATCATCTGAGGGGGCACGGAGGAGGAAGTCATGGTCTGCGAACGACCGGGGGGCGGGACGGCGCCAAATATATTAGAAAAGGCGGCATCGCGTTGACTGCTCGAGGGGTGACCACGAGGGTCGCGTTGATAGTAGTCGGACATGATGGCTGCACCTGGATCAGGGGAGCAAAGGCCGCAGTCAGTTTTCTGCGTACCATGCCAGGAAGGATCTCTTGGGCTGGAGAAGGGACGAGAATGTAGAGAGCTGACAAAGGCGAGTATGAACAGTGTGTGGCTTACCTCATGAAAACCCCCAGAGGCCGGCGACGGCGTTGCAAGGCAAAACCGTCGGGGGGAAGGGGGAGGGGACTGTGTATCGCAAGCTGGCTATCTCAGTATCGGGCTGAGCGCGGGCGTCTCGGGGTATGGTGATTGCGCCTTGGCGAGCAGACCGACGCGCTGTCGACGTTGTGCGGATTCGCAGTGATGGTCGCCGGCGGCAAAAGGCCTCGTGCGTTTTTTCCCCCTTTGTTGATGGCCTATGGTGCCGATCAAGGTTTGGGGGTCGTCGTGGGTTGGCGAGAATGGTGGGTCGGTTGGTCGGTCGGGCGGTCGGCAGGAGATGATGAATCCGCGACAAGGAGGAATCAATCGGGCCCAAGGTGGGAGCAACGGTGTTCCTGCAGCTCCAGAAGATGGATCAGATTATCGGCATCGGAGAAGGCGTAGGTCGGAAGAGCCGGTGGTGTGGACTCAGACGTTCGAAGACGAGGGTTTGGGTGGGTGGACTGGTGGTAAGGTTGGCTCAAGGTAGTGCTGTAGAAGGGTTGGCAGCGTCCTCCGTAGAAAGATGGTCAGTCGAGATGCAATGCAGAAAAGGACTATCTGTATCTGCAACCTGACCCCGGCCTCGTGGTCCACCGAATGAGTAGGTACGCAATGCACACTAAGACAGGCTTCCAGAGGGGTCTCCAGCTCTGTCCCCACCCCGATTCGGCGCCCTGGTTTTTTTTCAATCAGGTACGGATAAGATTAATCATGAATTCGACCATGCATGGCCATCTAAGGTTATTCTCTCGTCCGGGTTCAACGACCGCCCGTCTAGTTCATTACCCAAGCGAGGTACCTGTGGTCAGGTGAGGTGAGATTGGTTGGGAACGCCCTAACTGGATGGGCTTGGGTTTCGAGACGATGTATTGTGCCTGATGCGCCCGCAAGGGTTCGGCAGGTTTTGGGGGCTGTTGTGACGTTGTACCTTTCATGTACCGCGCGTCCTCCTGAGTACCTCTGGAAACATGTTGCGCAACACCAGCAGCGGCACGGATCAAGACAAAAGTGAGAGCGCGTGCGGCTCATCCCATCAGACCACGTATCAGAGCAGACACTGCTACAGATCATATCCTCGAAAGGAAACACCAAATGTGCTGTACTTATATGCTCTCTCTCTGATGAGGCTGGTACCAGTGAGGAACATGGCGCTCTCTCTCTCCACTTCATCACCCGCTGGCTGACTTGGTCCGTGTCACGTGATACCGCCAACGACAACTCCCTCCGAGTAGCTCCTGTTCCCTGATTGGCTTCGTCACCACCAAAGCTCGCGACCAACTCCCAAGATCCAGGTAGCAGCATTTCGACAGCTGCCGACGACAAGCATCCCGCATCCCGCGACGCCTACCATCCGGCACAACTCACGCCGTACTCTCATCACGCATCCCACCGCGCACGCGTATCTGATCGAGACCTTCCGGATCACAATGATCGAAGACCCCAACCCTGATCAGGCGCCCAAGTTCGCCCCATTCATCGGAATGGTATGCTTTCCATGGCCGCCCAGTCTTCTCCTCCTCGCGCTGGCCGCCCAGCGAGCTTCAAACATCCGACCGGATACTGACGAACCACCCATCATCTAGGCTGGCATCGCGGGCGCCATGATCTTCGGCTGCATTGGTGCTGCATACGGCACCGCAAAGTCCGGCATCGGTATCGCGGGCGTTGGTACCTTCAGGCCAGACCTGATCATGAAGGCATGGCCCCTTCTATCTCTCCCCTTCTCGTTCGTACTGGGAGTCCAACTGCTGACTCGATCTCCCCAACCTACAGTGCCTCATCCCCGTCGTCATGTCCGGCATCATCGCCGTCTACGCGCTCGTCATCTCCGTCCTCATCGCCCAGGACCTGGTCCCTCCCAGCTCGGGCGGACACTACAGCTTATTCGAGTGCGTTTCTTGACCCTCTTGTCTGCCCGCGACATCTCTGGCGGTATCCTGGGCCTTGTGCTGACCAAATCTCCTTCCTTCCAGCGGCTTCATGCACCTCGGCGCCGGTCTCTCTGTCGGCCTCACAGGTCTGGCGGCGGGCTACACGATCGGTGTCGTCGGCGATAAGGGCGTGCGCGCCTACATGGAGCAGAGCCGCGTCTTTGTCGGCATGGTCCTCATCCTCATTTTCGGCGAAGTCCTCGGTCTTTACGGGTACGTTTTTTCTTCTTCCCTCCCTTCTTCTTCGTCACGTCTATCTGCCGTGTACAAGTCTGCGGGGCTAATGCGAAGAATTGACAGTCTCATTGTCGCCCTGATCCTCAACACCCGAAGCTCGGGATAGACGAGAAAAGGACTCGGAGCAGGAGAAGAAGGAGGGACGACGACAACGACAAAGGCAAGACACAACACACAAGACATGATCTGGCCAACCATTCTGTCTAATGGAGGCGATGTCACCGGAACAAGTTGACATACACTCAATGTACATCTTACCCGAACGAGGGCTGCGGCGGACGCCCGGGAAGGAAGGAGGGCCGGCTCAGGGGGCCCGCTGTTGAAGAAAGGGGGCTGTCCTGACAGAGGACAGCTGCATATGGCAACGGCGTTTTCTAGGAAGAACATGTACAATTATTGCGGCTAGCTGACCGAGAAGAGCAAGCACACGGATTCACCCAAGTCGCGGTTGCAACGTGACTGACGGGAAGGCCATATTGAGCGTTTTCTCCGGCTAATTTCTTCACAGTAGTCAATGAGCCTCTCAAGCAAGCACATCTTTCTCATGTAAGGACACATGGGCTAATCTCGTACATTTCACGGTGCTAACGAACCGAGTTTTCAACAGGTACTGTTCGTGTCTTCATCTGCCGCTCTACGTGTTCGTTCATGCAATTTGCGGCCCGGGGCCCGTCATATGCCTAACTCCTAGATGATTCCTCGCGTGAGAAAAATGACTCGGGAAGAAGCAATCTTAAATCACCCCTCAGAAAAAGACTCGAGGCCTCCCTGAACCTCAGTCGCTTCAGCATGGGACTTGTAGGTGAACACGTCGTGCCCGGCTCTTGGTCAGCCCAGAAGGGGCGCCATCAGAAAGAAACTCGCAACCCAGAGAAGCGCAACGGAACGCCATACCCGATGCACGCAATGCGGCAAGGCAAGAAAGAAGAAAGAATCCAACCCGAATTTTCGGCTCCTCGAATCCATGCAGAAGAATGCCAAATGCCATAAGTCATGTTCAGCGTTTCTGGCGTCAGGCACACTGTATGGACACTAAAAGGCTTCAAGTGTCTCAAGCACGCAACACACACACACACGATTCACTCAAAGCAGCCGTCCCGCAAGACGGCGGGCCGGCTTGCGCCGCTGCACAGGCTCCGGAGAACGACGGGTACGGGGCAGGCTGCGGTCACGTTCCTCAATATCACCCATTTGCGCTGCAAGCCACCATGTTAGCAGGAAATCTTGCTTGCCACAGCCTTCAAAGAAAAAGGCAAGAGCTTACCGAGGAAGAAGTTCCACTGCCTGTCCTCCGCGACAAGGATGTCGTTGCCCCTCTCGCGTGCCAGCCTCTTGCGCTTGGCCTCAGCGGCAGCAACCTCGCCGACAAGGTGTGGGTCTTCGAGGTGGCGGCGCATGCTAAAAGACGAAGATGGGGAAGAAGCAGAAGCGGAAGAGGACGCGGGACCGGGCGCCGGCAACGAGGACGACGAAGAAGAGGGCATCGAAGGGGCAAAGTCCTCATCCTCGAGCACGCGATCGAGAAGCATTGCACGGCGGATGGAGGCGACAGAGTCATTGTTGCCCGAGTTGGCGCGGCGGCGGGCGACGTTGAGGTAACAGGGGTTTGCGCGGACGGTTGACCAGGTTGGAATTTGGAACTGGCTGAGGCGCGGGGCGGAGGCTCCCAGAGGCGGAATGGGGGGCAGACCGGTGGTTTGCCGGGGGGTCTCGCGCGGGTTGATAATATCCGGGATGAGGCTTCTCGACTGAGGCTGGGCCGTGTTGGTGCTGTGCAGGGTGGTTGTCGTACCCGGCGGGGTGTAGGGAGGGATCGCTTCAGGGAAAGGAGCGACCGAGTGGTAGGAGGGAGCTTCGGAGACTGCAAAGATTTTGTCATAAGCCTGGGGCTGTCGCAAGGACTCAAGGTGTTCAGGCCAGGATGCACTAGCTAGAGGAGCGCAACTCACTGTATGACGGAGCGGCCGAGCGAATAGAAGCCGTCTCGAAGTCCTCGGCCGTCAAAGCCTCTGCGCGCGCAGGGAAGAAATGGCGGCTGTCCAGCGAGGCAGCCATAGTTGCGGTCATGGTGTCAGAAAGCTGTCCAGCAGCTGCGTTTCATTCGTGACAACTTGTTCGAGTGCTGTGGCTCAAGTGTTCGCTCGCAGGCTCAGGCAGGTCGTGTGAGAAAGATTGCGGCGAGCGTAGGATATATTGCCCGGGCTAGTTCGGTAATCGACGTTCCAGTGCCTACCAGCCTCAACGGCTTGAAGAGGGAGGACAGGTGATCGTCTGCGTGAGACGGGTGTGGTGGCAGAGGTGTCGTGTGCTGAGACAATCGCGACTTCTATCAAGAGGAAGGGGGGTTAGCACACCTACGCAGGGATCGGCGCGATTAAGGCAAGCCCGACCGTCTCCTGGTCACTGCTGGCTGCATGATCCAGCCGAGCGGCCGACAGCCTACTCTACTCTGGGCTGGCAGCAGGTCAAGCCGAAGGGGCAGGATGGTGGGTGGAATGCCCCTTTCAGGGTTGCCATCCCGCCCCCATCGAGTGTCGACATCTGATGTGATGGTGGTGCGGGGCCACGTGAGAGGGGTCTGCAGCTCACCTTGGAGGTCTATGGGCAGGGGGGCGGAGGTTGGTCGGGCTGGCTTGTGTAGGTGTCTGCGTGTTGCAGCTATGTCCGGAAGAAGCCTGGCGTCCAAGAAGAGGGCTGGAACACACATGTATTGTATGTACGTGGGTGTGAGGAACAGGTAAGGCGGGAAGGTGGGAGAGGGGGGGGATTAAATTGTCACGATAGCGGCCTATTTCTGTCCTTATAGATCGGAATGCCGGCGCAAGCAGGCAGAAGGGGCGGGCCAGAACAGATAAGAGTGACAGGCTGACAGACAGCGAGCCGGTCTTGGGGCACTGGCGCGTCGTTTGGCGGAGACCTATAGGAGATGTGACGTTTTGTCCACTACTGGCCGTGTTCCTGGCGCGAGACACAAGACACGCCCAGCCTCGACCAAGACCCAGACCAAGCTGCGGCCCAGCCAGGCGAGGAAAAGTGACCGACACGGCCGGCCAAAAAGGCTGGGTCGGCGGGGATAAACCCGACACAGTTGAGCGGATAGAAAGCGGGTGCCAGTGCGGGTGCCAGTGCAGGTCCTTTTCCTTTTGTTTGGGGGTGTTCCTGGTTTATCCACAGGGAGGAGCCGGGTGCGGGTGGGTAAGACAAGCAGGACAAGCAGCAAGACAAGGTCCAAGACAGCGGCGGCAGGTTGGCATGTAGGTGCTGCGTTTTCCTTGTTGCTGTAGGGCCCTGTTGCCGAGGTAATTTCAACAGCGGATAGGACCCATGAGAAAGGGACGAATATAGCTGAGAGTGAGGGAAAGACGGAAGATGACAGAGAGAGACACAGAGAGAGAAAGTCGCCGGTAGTACAAGGTGGTCAGAAATTGATGCCGAGAGCCGGGGTACTATGCAATCCCAATCCTGCAGGCGGTCGGTCAATAGATAGCACCTCCCTACCAAGGTACCCTAAGGTAGGCAATTACCCAGGTCAGCACCTCGGAGGAAGGTACATCTAGGTAGAGACGACTTGTGAGGAGAAGGAGAGTGGACGCCGTCACCGCGGGGTCATTAACTGGCGTGAGCGTGTGGTCGTGTGGTCCGCCAAGGCCAGAAATAAGTAGCCCACACTTGGGCGACTGGTCTTGGTCTGGTGCTGGCGTCAAGATGGGAAACTTTGGGCCTTGTCGTCACAGCTCGCCGCGTCAACCTTCATCCGTTCTTCCCATTTCTTCGATCTTTCTTCCCCCCCCCGCCAAGCCTGCCTGCCTTGTAAACAGCCCGCAAAGACTACCTACCCCGCCGAACGGGGGACCACACGTGCAGTGGGTCCCATCTGGGTTAGGAGGTCCCTCGATTGGCCAAAACACCGATAACGCGTCGCTTGGCGTCGACGCAGGGGGGAACACGGGCCTGACGGGGATTTCATACCGAATAACCGGGGCGTTTGGATCGCGCGACTGAAGGAAGGTACGTGCAGGGGCACGCTAGGTTCCACGTACCACCGACACCCAGCTGCTTTTTTAGTATGGCGCTCGCTCGCAATACCGTGGCAGCTGCGGGGTGGTCTGGTCGTACTTGCTGCGTGGTGGTGCTAGGCGCCGCAACAGATACTCCTCGAGTGGATAATATGCCTCCCCCATCGGGATCTTACGGCTGCCCCGCCACACCTCCACGCGCCTGGCCGCAGGTGCTACTGGCGGACAGTAGCCGGCTTCACAGTAAGAGTAAGGTACCAGGGAAGGAGGCAGCCTGCGTCACCCATTTGAGAAGATGAACGGCAAGTGAGGCAGGCAAGTTGTGCAATGCCAGCACGGGTGATGCATGCCATGCATATTGGCCTAGGTACGGAAAGTACCTAGATACCTCGAGGAAGGCAGGTATCTGTACTGTTGCTCGGGCGTTTCGTACAAAGCCTGTTTTCGCATTTTAGTCCATGGGGCAAAGGTCGATAGGGGGAGGCAAGCGTCAAATTACGGAGTTTAACCCAAATTCTTAAGATCGGTTCTTTAAGGTGGGTAGAAACATACACATGACAGTCCTGACGGGCATGCGATGCATCCAATACACGCAGCCATTGAGTAGGTAGTCGTGGTGCCTCGCCAAGACTCTCATCAGCCACACCCCATCCTATCCCATCCTACCTGGTGGTGGTGGGAGGGAGGACATTCCATTCTAAGGCGTCTGCCAGCTGTTCATCCTGAAAGGAAAGGTCAACTGCTGTCTCTTTTAGGCTCTCGTTCAGGACCCAGCATGCAAGGCCGCCTTGCCACAGACAGACACTGCAGCACGCATGCAGTGTTGCTCGTTCCTACAAACTCTTGCGGTGAAGCAGACCGACAAACGCGCGTCAATGTATCGCCAAGCACGACACTGCCCAAGGTCAATGTCTCATGGCTGGATGAGAAGCGACTCCTCTTTGACGCAAAAGGACGTTGCCCGAACCACCATGAGGAGGCTACGAGCCTGTCCATACCATCCACCAACACTCTTCCTCAAACTCACGAGTCTTGGGTTCTTTTGGGGTGAGTGGAACCTCTCCTCGTCAGCCCAATGTGGCGTCAGTAGAAGCAGGTCCATCCAGTCAACGGTCCAGCCCTCAGCCGTTGTAGGTTTGGTGACGACCTTTGCAGATCGGTCCCCATGATCGATTTGACGCTTTCCGACACGTCGGTATGCTCAGCCCAGTCCGTCCTTGATTTCCCTTGGTGCCAATTTTCACGAGTCCATTCCTTTCATGTCGGTCATTGTACGCCGCCCGCTGCCAAGATGCTTGGTATCGCGAATAATCAAGTCGACGACTGACACGTTTCGCAACAAGTCTCGCCTCGATGATGGGGCATCAGCTTCCCCCGACTACATGCTCTCTTGTCTTCATCACCATCGTCGCTGTCTGTCTTTGTTCTTCTTTTGCTTCTTCCAGAATTCGTTGGTTTGTCTTGGCGGTCGATCACTGGGTGAGGCGCCCGCTTGCAGGCTCTCCCCACCGCTGCCGCCATCTGGTAACCACCCCCCTCCCCCCATTTCCTTTTCCCCTCACTGACGGCACGTCGGGCGCGATATCACCATGTCATCGGTCTCCATGCCCCACCACCAAGGCGGCCAGGCCAGGCCCCTCTCCCTGTGCCCGTACCGCCGCAAGCCAAGCACGGAAAAATAGGGAGGGCCCCTCCCGCAAGAGCCGCACACGCGGCGTCTTGTTGATCTGCTTCCTTGTTTTCTGTAATACGTCGTAATGTTGCTGCTGATCGTCGATCACCCCTGAATCTCCCCCTAATCCCTGTTGCCTTGCTATGTTAGGCGAGGGCTTCACTCGATGTGCTTTGTGGCTTCTCATTGCATGATCGATTCTTCCTGTCATTTCTGGGTGACGGCTGGTTATCTACAGAAACCCAACGCACTATTACACGTCTTTCTTGCCGACAGTGCCCCCCTTTCTCAGCCCCAATATGACAATGATCACAACGGCGACCGTGCCCGCGAACATGGTCCAGAACGCCGCGCGATATCCTGTCATCAGCCGTTCTTCCCGGTTCTCGATCCCCGAGTGCTCAGATACTGATGCTGCAATGGCCGCCGTAGCCGCGAGGCCGACGGAATTGCCAAACTGGGCGACCTCGTTGAATACGCCCCCCGCCAACGACTGGAGATCTGCCGGGAAGGCATCCGAGATGACGAGGTTCGACAGGGTGAAAAAGACTGCGCGGTGGGTGAGCATATGTCTTGGTCCACGCGGGCCTCCTCGAGGGCCTCTTCGAAGGAAAGTGAAACTCACCATCTGGATTAATCGGGGAAAGCACCATGGCCCAGAAAGGCGCGTGCCAGTAGTATGAATCAATGGGTACCGTCGCCATGAGGACCGGCGCCGCAACGGTGATGAAGCCTGACACGACGGCTAGCGTCTGCACCTTGACCCGCGAGATGAGGTACGCCGTGGCGATGTTGGTGAGCACGCCCGCAACAACGTGCGGGAGGAACTGCAGTGAGCTCGTCATGGCGGATGTCCCTTGTACCTCTTGGAAGCTGTCGTCTCGTCAGCAGCGGTCAACGGGCCAGACGAGGCCACGCCATGATAGATATACATACTAGAGGGTCGTGAAATACTGGATCCCGTTGAGGGCCGCCCAGCAGAAAAATACCGACAGGCAAACCGAGGTAAAGGCCGCGTTTCGCCAAAGCCGGTTGGGAATCAGTGCCGGCCGGCCTTTCCGCGTCTGAAACGCCATCCAGGCCGGGAAGCTCGCCAACAGAAAGACGGATATGGAAAGCAGCGCAATGTTGGGCGCATCGCTGAGCATCCTGTAGGAGGAAGACGTCATGGCCAGGACGTAGAGGAGGAGCCCGAGGGCGACGCTCATGATGAGGGCGCCCACCCAATCAATGTCTTCGACGAGGCGTCGCGTCCACTTCTTCTCCGACGCCTGACGAATCGCCGGCAGCGACCAGATCGAGGCCAGCGACAGGCAGAGGTTGATGCCGGCCATCATGTGGTAGGCCCAGCGCCAGCCGATTGTGTCCGTGAAGATGCCGCCCAGCACGAGGCCTAGGGCATAGCCCAGCGGCTGGCCCATGCCGTTCATGGCGAAGGCGACGTTGCGCCACGTCCCGCGCGGGAATGTGTTGGTGATGAGACTGACCGCCGTCGGCAGGCACATGGAGATGGCGACGCCTAGCATGGTCCGGAACAGGATAAGCTGCAGTCCCGTCTGCGCGAGGCCGACGGCAACGGTGAAGACGATGAACAAGAAGCTGCCCGCGACCCACATCCGCTTCGGCCCCACCACGTCGGCAACGGCCCCGAAAATGAGCAGTAGGCAACCGGCGGCGAGGGCGTAGACGGCTGCCGGCCACAGGATCAGCGCCTCTGGGAGGCCCACGTCACGAGAGATACGAGGCAGGGCTGCTGTCAGGATGCCGGAGCCCATTGTGTTGAGGAAGCTCATGCCGGCGAGTGTGACGATCACGGTGACGCCTTTGGCCTTCGAGACCTGGAGCTTGGTGGTGTCCGGCACAGGGTTCGGAGGCGCGCGACCTCCCGAGAGCGGTTGGGTAGATTCGTTCGCCAACGGGTCAGAAGCTGCGGGTGTCACATCGTCATGATGAAATGTCTTTGTAGCGCCAACGGGTCGTGGTGCAAATATCGGTTGGAGTTCGATGGCGGGGGTCACTTGGAAGGCAGCAGCCTGTAGAGCCGTGTTCGTAGGATCCGAAGGCGGCCGTTTCGAGTCCATCGTGCTCAACCTTGATGCAAAATTGGGAATACTAAGTTTTGATGAGCTTCACCTGTCGGAGGAGCGCGTGCCTGCCTTTTATAGGTAAGTAGGTACATTTCGTGGTCCCACATGTTTTGTTAGCTATCATCGTATTTCCAGGTTGGAGGGATCAATTGCCATGCGCACAGAACAGCACCATGCGGCACACTCCCAAATCTCGACAAGAGTATCCATGACGATGCATGTAGTCGATAGCAACAGCGGTAGCCATGGACAGGGTAGAAGAAGGATTGGCCATGGTGAACAGGGTACCGGAAGGATTGGCAACGATGACAGACAAGGGCGCCAGGGCGTCGATGACATGCCCCACTGTCAGCTTGTGACGACACGAGCCTTGCCGCTGCAACATGTCCGGTAGAGCACCATGACGTTCCGACTTCACTGATCAAGTGAAAGCGATCCGAGATTAGTGTAGTAGTGTCTGGACTGAATACAATTTGTAGCATGACAACTTCCTAGCTGGCTAGCTACTGTGGTATAAGCTTGTCAGTGCCTCGCCTACAGCCAGTCCGTTGTGTGAATATGGCGAGCCTATCATTTCAGGTTGATGGTTTGCGCTAAGTGACAATACTGCACTAGTCGAGAGTGTGCGGCCATTCTGATCGATGCAGCGCTCTGGGAGGTGTCAATAACCAAAGCAATTGAGAATTCCGGGATACTGCGCGCTCCCTGCTCAAAGAAGCAATGTATTGGGTGTGGCAGCCTGTCGTGGACAAGACGGAAGGAGCTCAAAAGCAAGGACACATCCATATACGTGGTCACGTGAGCTCGTGTCGCGCGTGCTCCTCAGCCGTTCGAACCCCACCATCCCAGCGCGTTCAGTTGGCGATTGGCAATGACTACACACCAACTTGCGGTTTTGCTATCCAACGACAGCTTTGTAACGCCCGGCAGAGAACAAGACGATGCCAGAAACGAGATGGCGACACGAACTGGCGTGTCTGGCGGCCATGCCCCTCCCTCCACGCTCGCCGCGCAGCTCGTGGAGAACATCTCTGCGTCGACGAAATCGTCCCGATCTGACGACAATAGCGAGCTGAGAAAACTCTCGGCGACGATCCAGGAAGTCGAAAGCAATCCCGGCATCCTGAAGACGTCCGAAGATCAACTGCGACACAATCACCTTCTCACATATGTCTTCATACGAGCAGTCCTCGGCGGCATCAAGCTGAACGATCCATTCCTCGACCGCAAACACCTGAAAAGCGAGGTCCTCCAAGCGATCAGCTTCCTGAAGCTCATAATAAAGGAGACGCCGGCTGTCTTGGCGTACAAAACTGCGGAAACGCCCTTTGAAATGCGCGGCGACGAGCCACTGTGGATCTGGGTGTTCCCCAAGATCCTGCGTCTGCTTGGTCACAGCCGCTGCCTCGACCTAACAGACGACATAGAGACCTTCTTCTATGAGCTACTTGACATTCTTTCATCTGATAATACGAAGTGGTGTCTGGTCTCCTCAATCACGGTGTATCTTCGAGAAATTGCAAATGGTACGATGGGCGGCAGAAGCCATGGTTCCGAAGTCTTGAGCGCCACTAACATCCTACAGCGCTTTTGCTGCGACTGCGAGACACGAATACAATTATGAACGGACGGGACGAGTCTTTACAGGTCACGCTACCGGAGGATGGGACATTGGAGCTTCTGGTCGGAAAGGCTACCATACATACCATCAAGCAGAGCACCTATACCATCTCGGGCATGGCGGTTGGCCTTCGTCAAGCATCAAGTCTTCTTAAAATTCTTGGCCACCCTCTTGTGTCGCAGCAGCATGCCATGCTGCCGGACGACTTCTTCGCCGCACACCGTCCATGGCTCGCGGACTCTCTGCTCTCCCTGCGAGCTCTCCAGGAAGGCTGGCAGCATACTGTGCCCCTCGGACGGTCTGGAGTCCTTCAAAGCACCCTGAATCTGCTTGCGGGGGACTTCAAGGGCACTAAATCAATTGCGAAACGAAAGGTTTACACCATCCTGGCGCTTCACTGTGCAGATATCATCCAAAACTTCTCCGAACTCACGACGAGCGAAGGCGAAGAAGCCACCACTGCGCAGCAGATCTTCTGCTGCGCGCTACTTCGTCTGTCGCATGCGGCTTTGCATGACAGGAGCATCGGTCGCCTCTCCATGGCTAAGATCGTTCTGCCAGCAGAATCCGGTCTTCTTATCCAGAACCCCTCGTGGGACAAGTCAAGTGACATATGGGTGCGTTTACAGGCGCCTCGGGTAGCATTGCAGATGCTGACGTTCTTACCAGAGATCTATTCAGGTTTTGAAGGAAACATCAGGCTCGACACCACCTGACATGCTCAGTCCGGATTGCCAACCAGGACTCTTTGCTGATTTAAACCTGCAGCGTCAAGTAGAACGCTTGGGCCTGAAGACGACGACCGAGTCCGTTATTGAACCCAAGCCGAAACGCAGAAAGCTCTCGCAAAACTCGTTCGAGTCCACTAAGCTTCCCAAGTTGGTTGCGCAGATTTACAAGATATTGGGTGCAGACCCGGGGTGCAGCAACTTTTCTCTGAACTGGTCTTTCATGTATGCTCGGCACATTAAGGAACGCATGTCTCCGACGCCAGCCGCTGACGACCATATAGGAACGCCTACCCAAAGCTGTCTGAAAACGACCAGTGTACCGTGGTTGACTTGCTTTCCCGAACGTGCTGTCTTGCGGACGAGATCATTCAGACAGACAGCGAAAAGGCCTCGAGCCCACAATGTAGGTATTGTGCGAAAAGCAGCGTTGCTGAACCGCGCACCAAGCAGACTGATGGAAGGGCCAAGAGTGAGGTCACAAGTATATTCGTGAAACTCATTGCTCATGAATCGTTTCTGTCATCCCGGCGACCCAGGATAGTTGCTATGGTGTGCCTCCGACGCTTAATAATTCATGCCGACGATCAGGGCATTTTAGACTTGGAGACGTCGGAGCTCGGAAAGTGGTGTCTTCAGTCTCTCCAGAGCTCTGTTCGTGAGCTTCGAATCGCTGCTGGGTGGGTACTCTCACGTCTGCTATTTGAGCCAGCTGACATGTACCAGGCGGACCCTGGCGACGTTCGTGCGGCCACCAACATCCAACAATAGCGACCCATCATATTTGAGTCATAACCTGAAGACCGCGCTCTCGTTGTTGAAGAGCATTTCTGAGCAGGCTGTCACGGGATTTAGCGAGACAAACATCATGGCTTGGGGCCAGCTTGGAAGGTAAGTCAATCGTCATCATCGCGAAAGGTCTCTCACATATCAAGGCACGTGTCTGGGAACGAGCTGAACCTGGTTCTGCTTCAACTACTCAAGTATCTTGGAGGCAACAACAGTCTGATAGCATCTTGTGCTTTCAACGAGGTATGCGTTTCCGTCCAAATCTGCGTCTGGCGTTTAACCAGGAGCATAGGTCCTCAGCATCGCTACGAGCCGGCAAATATCTTGCTCGCAGCTATTCGAGCCCTTCTGGGGCAATTTGGCTTTTTTTGCGATCAAGGACATGGTGGCTAGGCCACAAATAAGTCGAGCTATTGCCGAGTTGCTGCAGATTTCTGTCAATCAGCTGCTCATACTCATTCAGCGTTTTGCGTTGCCCTGGCTTGTGCTCCTTAAAAAGCGCGATGTTGTGCAAAAAATCACCGAAGCCCGTCGAGAGCAGGATACGTACTTTTGCCTCATGGAGAGCTCCAACAATGGTCCCATTATGGCCCTCCTATTGATTCAGGACGCGCCCGATCCTGAAGAGTTCATCATGTCGAGGTTGCGTGAGTTCTCGTCAAGATTCGAGTCATCGACCATTGCCGAAATGATGAAGTCCGAGGCAGTCGCAATCATCCTCGAGCTGCTCAAAGCAGCTAGTGATGCGGACGAAGAGAGGAAGCCGCGGGTGAGTTTGGTAAACCTTGTCTGTCCGTGACCTCTCGACTGATTTGATGTCATAGATCGTCCACGCCTTGACCTGGATGGCAACAAAGGTCATGGCTCCTAGCCGGGAGCCAAGATCCAAGAAACATTCGGCTAACATCATCGGCCGATTTCTCGAATCTTACATGCTAGGGTCGATTTCCCGCTTGGTCGATGTGATCAACGACCGCATGTTGAGTGCGCCACCAGTCGAGGAACAACTGCAGTGTCTTCGAGCCATGGAAGAGATGATCAGGCTCTGCAAAGCCTATGTCCGGGGTGCGCGGCCTCAGGTAAGATATATTGAATCATGGTCACTTGATCTGTGCTGACATTTTAGATCACCGCCTGCCTGCTATCCGCATTAGAACGCGACCACCTCAGGAAGGCCGCGTTGTCATGTTGGGTCGCTCTGCTCACTCATCTGGAAGAAGAAGACATCGAGGTTCTCCTGGAACCCACGATATTCATCATTAAATTCTACTGGAGGCAATACGATGACTCATGTCGGGCCATGGCAGTGGCATTGATCCATCAAGTCCTAAAGGACTTCCCTGATGTAGTTGATAGGACGATCAAGGTTTTGCCGACGCTCAAGGACATACCGGAGCTTTCCGGTATTGAAGCAAAGCTCTCTTCTTTGAGACCATCTTTGGATCCGCGCGGAGCATTCGTCGTCTTTGCGGAACGCTTATCTCATCAAAACTCAGGCGTTGTTCTCCTAGCGCTCGAAGAGCTGGTGGAGTACCTCAAAGACAACCAGGGCTACCTACACAGTTCGGCCATCAGCGAGCAGCCCGACACCGTCGTCACCACACTCTTGCGGTCTCTGCTAGACTGTGCAGCAAAAGTCGGCACGTCGGATATTGTCGTAGCCAGCGCCTGTACACAATGCATTGGACTCATCGGCTGCTTAGACTCGAACCGGATTGAGACTACGCGCGAGTCAAAGTCGATGGCTGTGCTGCACAACTTTGAGGATTCCCAAGAGACAACAGATTTCGTGTTATTCATCCTGGAGGAGGTCTTAGTTAAAGCTTTCCTCTCCACGACTGACACAAGATTGCAAGGCTTTTTGTCTTTTGCGATGCAGGATCTCATGCAGAAAGTCGACCTTCAGTCCGCCTTGGCCTCATCGACGAAAATACCAAACAGCACGAGATCTGCCGAGGGAAATAGCGTCTACCGGAAGTGGATTGCTCTGCCGGAGAGTGTGCGGGAGGTCCTGAGCCCCTTTTTGACTTCCAGATATCTGCTGGCACCAGCCAAGATCCCACCAGCAGAGTATCCCATCTTTCAGCCTGGCAAGTCGTACGTCCAGTGGGTTAGAGTATTCGTTCTGGACCTTCTGCAGCGCCCCCTCAACGAACATGCGCGCCTGGTTTTCGAGCCGTTGAGTCGTCTCATCCGAGTCAAGGACGTCTCAGTCGCCGAATTCCTCCTTCCCTACCTGGTGATCCACGTCATTGTAGGCAACAAGAGCACGCAGAGTGAGCGTGATCGTGTTACAAATGAGCTTGTCAACATCCTGCGACACCAAACAAGGGACGACGCGACTTACGCAGAACGAGACGACATGAAGTTATACTGTGAAGTAAGTCCATGCCGCATTGTTTATTCGACGGCAAGCCACTCACATAATCTAGGCCGTCTTTCGTGTTTTTGATTACGCCATGAAGTGGGTGCAGGAGAATGGTCGAAATGCAAAGTCTGACCTCAAAGCCCTGGACCGTGTCAAGTCTGTCGTCGGCATGATTTCACCAGAGCTCAGATCACAGCGAGCGATGGATTGTAAGGAGTACTCACGAGCCTTGTTCTATCTCGAGCACCATGCGCAGGAGCTCGAATTGAAGCAAGGCGATCCCTCCGAACGGACGCGGCTTCTGGAAAGACTCCAGGATATATACACTCAAATCGACGAGCCAGATGGACTCGATGGTATATCCGCCCGCCTGCACGTCCTCGACGTCAACCAGCAAATTCTCAGTCACCGAAAAGCAGGCAGATGGACAGCTGCGCAGACGTGGTACGAGATCAAGCTTGCGGAGGAACCTAGTAATGTCGACATTCAAGTCGATCTGCTTACCTGTCTGCAGCAGTCTGGGCAGCATGGTATGTCGTGAACGGAAAGTGACATGAGCAGTGCAGCTAACGAATAGCAGACGTTTTACTGAATCACGTTGAGGGCATGCACTTGGACGTCACCTCGGAGAACCGAATAGTGCCCTTTGCAGTCGAAGCAGCCTGGGCCACAAGCAGATGGGACACTCTTTCCAAATACGCCGGCAGGTTTCATGGAGACTTCATGGAAGACTTCAATGTAGGTATCGCGAGGCTCTTTGATTCAATGCGTCAAGGAAACTCCACCCGAACGAAATTCACAGAGACGCTCGACCTTATGCGAAAGAAGATTGCGTCTGGCCTGACATACACAGCTACGTCTTCGTTGCAAGCATCGCATGAGCTCATGTTGAGGTGCCATATCCTTACGGACATTGAGCTCATTACTCAGGAGCGGGAGGTCGATGGCCCTCAACACCAGGCAACGTTGAAGCTTCTAGAGCGTCGTCTGGAGGTTTTGGGTGCCTATGTCTACGACAAGCAATATCTTCTGAGCATCCGCCGTGCCGCAATGCAGCTTTCGCAGTAAGAAGCACCAGTTGTCTCCTCTTCAAATCATTAGTACTGACGAATCTCTCAGACCCATCTATTCAGACATTGACATATCCTCTCTCTGGCTATCCACTTCAAAACTTGCGAGGAAAGCCAACTCGATGCAGCAGTCCCTCAACGCCGTGCTCCACGCGTCCAAATTGGGAGATGACTCGGCTGTCATTGAGAATGCCAAGCTTCTCTGGAAGGATGGGCACCCGCGAAAGGCGATACAAGTCCTGCAGGGCGCCATTGACGCCAACAAGTTTGCAACACAAGTCAACAACAGTACAAGTTCTTCCAAGGGCATGGATATGCAACAGAGGTACTTGACCGCTCGAGCGCAGTTGACGCTCGCTAAATGGCTGGACGCTGCCGGCCAGACACACGTGATCAACCTGCGAGAGAAGTATCAACAAGCACCAAAGACGCTCTCCATGTGGGAAAAAGGACACTTCTTCCTGGGGAGACACTACAAGAAACTCATGGAGTCAGAACAGACTCTCAAGCTTGACCATCAAAGTGACGCCTACCTACAGGGCGAGATTGCGAGACTGGTCATCGAGAACTATCTGCGGTCGCTCAGCTACGGCACGAAATATCTGTTCCAGACGCTGCCCAGAATATTGACGCTTTGGCTGGAGCTCGGGGCCCAAGTCGACAAGCCGCCCGAAGGCAAGATCTCCGTGTCACGCGAGCTCCACAAGAGACGTGTCGAGCAGCTGAACATGCTGCATAAATTCCTCGACAAGTACATCATTAAGCTACCGGCGTTTATCTTCTATACGGCTCTGCCCCAGATCGTGGCCCGTATCGCACACCCGAGCCAGCACGTCTTCGACCGACTGAAGAACATCTTGGTCAAGGTGGTGGAGGCGCATCCGCGACAGGCGTTGTGGGGTCTTTTTGGTATCATGACGACGAAGCAGGCCACGGAGAGGCGGGAGAGAGGCCAGAGGATTCTGCAAACCCTGCGAAGCGTGTCAGCCAGAGTAGAGAATGGCAGCTACGACCTCAAGACGCTGCTTCGAATGGGAGAGAAGCTGGCGGAGCAGCTGTTGCTGGCTTGCAACAACGGCAACTTTCAGAGCAACCGGACAACCAAGGCGAGCATCACGCGCGACCTCAACTTTAATCACAAGTGTACACCGTGTCCACTGGTAGTGCCGATCGAGGCGTGCCTCACGGCAACACTGCCGACGCTGGCAGACAACGTGCGCCGATACAAGGCCTTCTCGCGCGACGTCGTGACGATCGACTCGTTTCTTGACGAGGTTCTCGTGCTGGGTTCGCTCGCGAAGCCGCGACGGTTGACGGCGCGGGGGTCGGACGGAAAGAATTACATGCTTCTCATCAAGCCCAAGGACGACCTGCGGACGGACCAGAGGCTGATGGAATTCAACGCCATGATCAACCGATCGCTGAAGCGCGATGCCGAATCGAGCCGGCGGCAGCTGTACATCAGGACGTACGCGGTGACGCCGCTCAACGAGGAGTGCGGCATCATTGAGTGGGTGGACGGACTGAAGACGCTGCGCGACATTTTGCTGGAGCAATACAAGATGCGCGGGACGCACCCCGACTACAACGCCATCAAGCGCATGATGAAGGACGCCGTGACGGGCACGAGCAACATCCACCTGTTCACAGAGGGGGTGCTCGGGACGTTCCCGCCGGTGCTTCACCACTGGTTCATAGAGCAGTTCCCGCACCCGGCCGTGTGGTTCGCGGCACGGCTCAAGTACACGCGGTCGTGTGCCGTCATGTCCATGGTGGGGACGATTCTGGGCCTCGGCGACAGACACGGAGAGAACGTGTTATTGGAGAAGGATAACGGCGGCATCTTCCACGTCGACTTCAACTGCCTCTTCGACAAAGGGCGGACATTTGGCGAGCCGGAGCGGGTGCCGTTCCGGCTGACGCACAACATGGTGACGGCGATGGGGATGCACGGGTACGAGGGCCCGTTCCGCGCGTGCAGCGAGCTGTCGCTGGGCATCCTGCGGCAGCAGGAGGAGACGCTCATGACGATCCTCGAGGCGTTTATCTACGATCCGACGCTGGACCTGCAAAAGGTCAAGAAATCGAGCCGCGCGGTGGTGGCGCCGGGGGAGGTCAGGCTGGAACCGCCGTACGTGGTGGACAGCATCAAGCGCAAGGTACGGGGATTGCTCCCGAATGAGAGCATCCCGCTGGGTGTGGAGGGCTACGTCGAGGAGCTCATCAGCCAGGCGGTCGATCCCAGAAACCTGTCGGCCATGTACATTGGATGGTGTCCTTTCCTATAGAGGGGGGTATAGAGGGGGGTATAGAGAGGTGGTACTGGTAGGCGCATGGTCATGGTTCTGTTTGTCAGAGTTGGGAATATGACGAGTATGATCTTTCTGATATGGTTATTATATTGGCTTTCAGACTGCCGCGCCGAGGCACAGGGTTCGTCGTGTATGACCTGAGCACCTGGGTAGGTACCTACTTTACCTACCTACCTTACCTAGGTAGGTTCCTAAGGTACCTAGGTAGGTAAGGTACCACCTACCTTAGGTGAGGTAAGTGGTAGGCAGAGGACGGCGCCAGCCCCTGTAAGTGTCGCCGTAATACTAAGGGTCAACTCCTGAGACGCTGGGGCCTCCTTCTTTAGGGGTGCCTCCCAGGGCATGTACGGCGGACCACCCGCTGGCACCTGCCTGTTCCTCTGCCCAACAATGTAATGTCACATCATCATGCCAGGCAGGCGCGGCCCAGGGTAGCAGCGCCGCCTTCTTATCACTCGGCAGCTTGGCCAGCCTCGGGCCACGACCAATTTCCCTCCTTCGTTTGCGTCTCATTCACTTCAACCCCTCGCAAGCTAGAAGTTTTCCTCTGGTTCGTGGCCCTTCCCAAGCACACGTCGTCCGTCCTTTGCTGCCATCAAAGGTATTGCGCCCCCGCCAAACGTCACGCCAGTTGGTCGGTCGCCTGGCAACTTCTCCAAGAACCCGCATCGTAGCCCCAACGACTCCAGGCTAGTGACCCTCTGCGACAGACTATTATCGTCGTCTCATTCACGGCCAGCGACACTTCCGACAGGATCGGCTGTTTTCCTGCGTACCCTTTATTCCCACAACAGCGCGAAGCACAGAGAAGCAGTCAACATGTCGTCCTATCGAATCGGTCAGTTCCCTTCCGTGCTGCTTGCGTGCACTGCACCCAGGCGTCTCAACGTCACGCGTTCATGCATGACGCGCGCCGAGATCCATCAAGCTCATTCCTCAACCGACCACAAAACTGACATGCCATCCTCCTCTCCCAGAGGTCTCCGCCAACAACCGCGCCGGCTGCCAGGATAGTGTCTGCAAGGCCACCGCGACCAAGTGCCTCAAGGGCCAGCTGCGCTTCGGCACGTGGACCGAGATCCAGGACCACGGCAGCTTCCGCTGGAAGCACTGGGGATGCGTCTCCGGCAAGCAGATTGAGGGCCTGCGCGAGACATGCTCGCGTGGCGGCGACGCGTTTGACTTTGATGCTATCGACGGCTATGATGAGATGGCCGATTATCCCGACCTGCAGGCCAAGATTCGCGAGGCGGTCGAGCAGGGTCACATTGCGCCCGAGGATTTCAATGGTGTATGTTGTCTTGCCTTCCATGCCTTGCGCCTCATCTCCAAAAGGAGTCATGGCGCAAGTCACGGTTCGACAGCAACGATGATGCTAATCTCACCTAGGATCCCGAATACAACAAGCTCGGCCAACGCGCCATCCGCGGTCGTTCAGCCGTGACCAAGGCCAAGGCTGGAGAGAATGACGATGCCGCAAAGGACGAAGAGGCCGAAAAGGCGCCTGCCAAGGGTAAGAAGCGCAGCCGCAAGGCCGCTGACGACGAGGGCGAGCCTGAAGCCGCAGAGGACACCAAGTCGAAGAAGCGCACCAAGACTGCCGCCGCTGCTTCAGTCAAGGATGACGAGGAGGAAAAGCCTAAGCCCAAGCCCAAGCCCAAGGGCAAGACTGCCAAGACTGCTGTCAAGGCGGAGGACTCTGACGACGAGAAGCCGAAACCCAAGGCAAGGGGCAAAGGTGCCAAGGCCGCTGTCAAGAAGGAGGATTCAGAGGAGGACACCGAGGACGTTCCCGTCACAAAGGCCAAGGCCAAGCACGGCAAGGCTGCCCCTGCTGTCAAGGCCGAGGATGAGGAAGAGCCCAAACCGAAGCGGGGGGGCAGGCGTACTGCCGCTAAGAAGGCTGTTGTGGAAGAGTCGGAGCCTGAGGACGAGGGCGAAGAGGAGCCTGTTCCCAAGCCCAAGCCCAAGAAGGCCGCCGCTGCCAAGGGAAGAAAGAAGACAGAGGTTGCTAAGGAGGGAGACAGCAACGATGCGTCTGCCGCAGCACCCAAGCGAAGGAGCCGTAGGAGTGCAGGTGGAGCTTGATGTTGTGCCTCTTGGGTGGTAGCGAGCCATCAGTAGCCTACTATGTTCTGGGGTTGTGTCATTCTGGTTTGACCAGCGGCTGTCTTTGAAGTTGTACGTTATGCGGTTCAGCCTGAGCTCAAGGCAGGGGCAAGTGTTGCTGCAAGCGTTACTGGAATAGGGTACGGGTGATTACGGGGCCAGGCCTCGGCCATGCCTGTTGTACTATGTACTATATAGGAACGGTTGACGACGACGCTTTCCATGTATGGTGAGAGCCAAGAAGGCTTCGCCTCAAACCTTTGGTATCTGCCTGTCTACGTAGCGGTGAAAATCGTGGTCAAATCGTAGACTTCATTCGTAATTGCCTCTCCTCTATGCGGCCCCCATCGTTGTCCATTTTGCCAGCAACTCGTTGACGATTTTCGAGTCATCTTCACTGCCGTCGAATTCCTCATCCTCCATCTGGGGGACACCATTGTCGACCTCATCCTCTTCATCACCGAAACCTCCAAAGGACGCCTCGACGACTTTCGTGTAGGATTGCTCTCTGTTCCTCGTCGATGGGTGATGAAAAATGATCTCGCTATAGGTGATGTGCTGCGGAGGAGCTATAATATCGCTTGCGTATGGGCTCCCGCCCACAGGCGAATAGCTCGGAGAGACCGGCGAGTAGCCCGGCGACGCCGATTCACACGGAACCGCAGGCGAGTAGGGCGTGAACGGCCGCGTGCGGTCGTCGAGCGGCGGCCTGAACGGCGGAAGCGCCGCGCCGAGATGCGGCCTCGTTCTCGCGGCGGCGCGGTAGCCTTCTTTGTGTCTCCTCGTTAGTGGGGGCCTTCTCCTCGGGAGGGGAGGGGGTCTGGCGGTGAGTCTTACTTCGGTCCGGCTCCGGCACCGGCTCCGGCGCGGCCGGTCCCGCCACCTCGATGAGCCGCTCGTGCAAGCGCTTCACGGCCTCGGACGTGTCAAAGGACGAGGCGACACCCCCGGACGACGCCGCCAGTCGCGCCGCCTCGCCCTGCTCCAGTCGACGCAGGTGGCCCGCCAGCTCCCGGTACTGCGCCGTCGGGATCTCGGGTCGGGGGTCGGCCGCCACGAGCTGCTCGAGAAGCTTGCAGCCGAGGAGGAGCTCGCCTGCCACTTTTGGCCGTCCCTGCTCCTGCTCATCGCGCGGCGGCGATGCCGTGCCGAGCACGCCGAAAGTGCCTCCGTCCTTTTCGTACGGCGGCAGCCCATTGTCGCCTCCTCTGGCCGCCATCTCCTTTTCCAGGAGGGCCAGGCTCCCGATGACGCGCCTCCTGTACGCCTTTTCCTCCTCGTCAATGGCGCTGGAGAAGTCACAGGTCAGTCCAGCACCCGAGAATGACTCTCATTCGGGACTTGAAACTCAGAAAGTGATATGAAAATCCCCCGCAAAAGAAATAAGGAGAAGAAGAAGAAGAAGAAGAAGGAGAAGAAACGCACCGCCCTTTCACGTCCCGCGCATACCCCAAAACCTGCAACATGAGCCCCAGCCCAGCCTTCAACCTCTCCAGCCTGTCCCGGAGCCCCTCGAGCCTCTCGCGCCCCAGCGCCCAGCGCATCCTCTCGACCGCCCGTTCGCCGCGCCCGCCGCGCATCCGCGCGAGGCTCTGCCCGAGCAGCGCGTCGACCTCCTCGAACACGGCGAGGCACTCGCCGACGGCGGTCCGCGCGGCGGCGACGGCGGCGTCGGAGGCCGTGGCGCCGGACGCGGCATCGGCCTCGAGCAGCACGGCGAGCTCGCGCGCGACGGTCGCCGTCAGGGACATGTCGCTCGCGAGGGCGCGCGCGTCGGCCGGGGCCGAGGCGAGGGTGCGCGCGAGGGTGTAGAGCTTCAGGGAGAGGCGGGCGCCGAACTCGGCGAGCGCGAGCGACGACGCGATGAGGCCTACGAGTTCGGCCATGGTGCGGTGTTCGCGAAGCGGGAGCGGTGGCATGGCAGTGAGCCTTCCCCCTCTCTTATTGTTGAGGGGATGTGGTTGATCCATCGTTCGGCTTAGTCATGACATGTTCCCCTTTCGAGTGAAGAGGGAGATCATCACGGGGAGATCACTCGACGCAGCCAGCTCTGGCTGACACACGAGCCATCAGGAGAAAAAGTAGTCCAGTTCAGTCTATGACAGTTTGTACCGTCCCTGTCGCTATGTTGCCGTAGCATTCATCAATCACTTGCGGCCGTTACGTTGTAGAAGAGACAAGATCCCCATCTCAAAACCCCTGCTCAAGCTAGAAAATTGGTCGTGGCACGTGTCTCTAGTATCCCCTTCGCATGGCATTCCGCGAGCTGTCATATACAAACTCCCGCTCCGTCACCCGCTCATCGAGATATTTGCTGCGCGGCTTTCCGTATCGCTGCTGCTCCCGCCATTCGTGCTCCCACCGCGCACGGTCTTTGCGGTGCCTGCGTATCGTCTCGGTCAACTGGATGAGCTCTAGTACGTTATCCTGCAGAGATGGGTCAGCACGGCTGTCACAGCCAGGGGAAGCCAGGCCAAGCCAAGGCAATGCGTCGCACTCACGTATTTGAGGTACTGCATCACATAGAAGAAGTCCTCCGTCTCCTCAAAGTCATAGCCACACTCAACGACGGCTTCACGACAAACGAGATCTCTCGTAATCTCCGTCCACATCTGATCCTGCTTGGGTTTCGGCGGAGCACGAGACGAGCCGCGACGGTCGCGCGACCGGTCGATTTCAATCTCCAGCTCGCGTTCATATCCTCCCAGCCGTTCACGCGAGTCCCGTGGCGCCGCCGGGAGTGGGGCGGGAGCAGGTGCGGGCACCATCTGGCCGTCGCGCTCAGGGACAAACTTGGTCCTGCGCACGCCGCTATAGCGCTGCCAGGACGTGTCGGTCGATCCGCCGCCGACGCCATCCATGCGTACCCTCTCCGTGCCAGGAGGCACATCAACAATGGTCCAGTCCTTGGTGGCGCCGTTCCATGCCTCACCCATGCGACCGCGAGAGTCAATCTTGGATGTGATAAATTCGGCCTCCTCATCGACAGGTGAGCGGAGAGGCGCGGCCGAGTGAGCCCGACGACGCTGGCCGCCATGGGTGTGATAGTGGCGATCCTCCACGCGGAGTGTGTCCCGATTATTGCTCACAACGAGCTCATGTCCGTGGGCGTGGATGTGGGGGGAACGTCGCTCCTGACTGGGCTCGCGATGGCGACTGCTTGAGCGATGAACGTCGACGTTGGTTCTGCCGCGGGAGGTGATGATGTCGATATCAAGCTGCCTCTCTTCGGTTCGGACAGACGGGCGTGGGGCCGGGCGCGGGGGAGGGGGCGGGCTGGGCACTCGAGTCACACCTAGCGCAGGTCAGCATTATCGTCAACTCAACTCAGGGCCGGCACACATGCTTACCATGATCAATGTCCCGATAGTGCGTAATGACTTCTCTCTCAATGGTCGGTCCGCGGATGACAGGTGGAGGGGGAGGTGGAGGAGACGGCGAGGGGGAGGGTACGCGCTCAGGAATTCGTTCCCTCTCTCTCTGGATGATGCGAATGCGATCCCGCTCCCGCTCTTGGTCGAAGGAGGACGACCGGCGACGTCGTACTGGCGAAGGCGACCTCTCAACGTATCGCATGGGAGCCCTGACGGGAGCAGGTGGTGGTACAGGCTCTCGCAGGCGCTCGCGTTCGCTGATGCGAATGCGCTCACGCTCGCGCTCTTCGTGGATGTGAGGCGGGGTTAGGCTGCGGGCTCTCCTCGTCATGACCATGTGATCGTGGCGTACAGGACTGGGACTTCGAAAACGAGGCCGAGCGACTTCGCGCGTCTCAACATCGCGCTGACGAAGGACCAGTGGCCCTGCCTCTTGAGGTCGGGGGTCGTCGCGGAGGAAGGCTAGGCGGTCACTCTCACGTTCGCGATCTTGAATGCGAACCTCGTCATAGGTGGATTGAGGGCGTCGGCGACCGGCAGACGAGGGAGGTGCATCGTAGTAGCGATCGTCATAGTCGCTTCCCCGGTAGGCCATAGTGGGTTGGGTTCCTCGTGAGATTGACGAGGTTTGTTTGCTCGTATCTGTTGTCTCTTGAGGTTATGAAAGCCCGTAATGCGTGGTGATCTGACTTCTTGCTGGTGGCAGTGGCGGGGTCGTGTGTATGACGGTAAGCACGAGCAGCAGCTGAGCCGAAAGTACACAAAATTGGTGAAGTTCAGACGCTCGTGGCACAAACGATGGGGTGGTCCGTAGCATGCAAAAGTCCAAGACCAAGCAAAAATGGGTATCGAGGGCCGAGAGTCTATGTGTACGAGGGGAAGAGAGAAGTACTGGCGCGAGGCAGCAGAACGAGACGCCAGTCAGAGGGAAGATGCGAAAGTGGACAACAACGCCAGGGAAGTTGTCGAAGTCGATCGGCGTTGGGTTGGGTTGTGTGTGGCGGGGGGGGGGGGGGAGTGCGCGTGGCGGGAGACGGGAGTGAAGTGGATCAGACAAAAAAACAGGCCTGAACTGAAAGCAAGGCCCAAAGGGCTAGTCGTCCTTGCTGCTGGTCTGGTAGCCAGGTCCCTCAGGTCTGGTGCCGTGCTTGACCTAACTCAAGAAAGACAAGTCGAGAGGGGAGGGCTTGCGGGTGCCGAGACGGGAGTCGATCTTGGAAAGAGTAGCGAGCGTCGAGCGTTGTCGGCTGTCGAGTGTCAAGTGTCCATCGTCATGGCGCGGCGGGGGAGCAGCTGATGCGCGGTCCCGACTGGTCGGCTGGCCGTCAGGCTGCGTGCGTGCAATTGTTCCCCCCTCATGAGGGGTCACGGCGGGCTGGTAATACCAGGCTGTTAAGTTGCGTTGCTGGGTGCGCTAATAAGCTGACAGAAGGGGCTGGATGCCGCATGTTGGAGGCTGGCGGCTGCCGAGACGAGGGGAGCCCAGGGTCATCCTTGGGGGGGCCGCTGCAGAGTTGGCCAAGGATGAGGTTGACCACCTTGCCAGGATGGTAGGGAGTGTCTCGAAAAATCACTGACATCGCCCAAGCTGAATAATGTCGGATGAAATTGGGTTGCCATGAGTATTCAGTCCGGAATCTGACCCGATACTCTAAGAATGGCGAAGCATTGAACATATTCCCACTAGGGAGCTCCTCGCCCAGCCCTCTCAAGGATGTGCAGATCGGATGGATGAGGGGGCGAGGGGCGAAGAGGCAGCTTAGAAACAGGAGGTCCCTGCCATAGGTAGGTACCTACCTTAGGTAGGGACAAAAGTGCAAAAACTGGCAACCACTCATCCATCAGTTGGGCAGGCAGGACTGGTCAGGGCGTGGGAAGCCCGCAGCAGGAGCGAGGAGGGGGCACACGACCAGGGTCTTGCCTCGCTGCCCAATGGATTCCGGCAGGGCCTCGCAGCCTCAGAGGCTTGCAGGCTCGAGGGCTTCTGTAGCTACTTCTGAGGCACGTTGTACCTGCCTGTCTTCGGTGACTGCTTGTGGATGGCAAGCTGGGGCCCTGTGACTGTGACGAGACTGGAAGGAGGAGGGCGCAAGTGACCGACAGGTCGTGATGACGAAATGACACACCCAAGGCTGTGATGAGTATAGGCTGCTCATCTGTATTCAGGGTCTGATGGAAACCCGACCAAAGATAAACCAGGGTCCAACATCTGCCAACTTTCTCTCAACGTCCGACTTACCGACTAGCCCCCTTTCCTCTACTGCAACGGTCACACTGATGGTAGCGGGCATGATTTTGTAGTCGAACAAGAATGAAGAGGTAATTGCTGGAGGTGGGGGGCGGGACGGGCCCTGACGTCATGTGGATCTGGGCTCGACCACACCTGCCTGACAACCTCACCTGCCCTAGAGTCGCTGTCCGCGGTGAGGGGGTGCTCCCACGAGGCCCGTCCATGCTTGTCCTTGCCGTGGAGTCGGGTCATGGGCGGCTGTCCCAGGCCCTCGACTCCGCTCTCCGACTCTCCGAGTACAAGCGCCCAAGGGCATTGCTGGCTCAGGGTTTTGTCGTAACTATGTAATATCTGCTCGGAGGACCTGATAGACGTCGTTAGATTATCTCATGTACGATCAAGCGTCGTCTCATATGAGTCCTCACGATGTATGCACGCCCCTCCTGAGTGAGAGTCGTTGTGCCTCCCCCGACTGCTAGGTATCTAAAACCTCACCACACGCTGTCACCCACAAACACTTGGCGTTCATGCGAGTAATGTATGTTGTATATTTCATGCGTGGATTTTCCTTTCGTTACCATCGTCACTAAACAGAGAAAAGACAGAAAGAGGAAGAAGAAGGGGCAAGAGGCAAAATCAACTCCCGTTTTCGTACCCAACCTCTCAGGTGAGCCGAGTCTCCTAGGCTCTCTCTCAAGCATGCCCGCACCAAACTCGCCAGTTCGCCGTCCGCACCATGCGCAGCCCTTCGCATTCGACGTCAGACCTCAGGCATACGCCAAACCGCGCTTCACATCCTTCGCCATGAGTCCCTCGAGAGGCTGCTCGCCCTGCGTATGTTGAGGGCGCCCGCCGAGAATGTCCACGACGTTCTTCATGTGCGCCCAGTGCGTCGCCTTGGGCCTGCGGTTCTTCCAGTCCGTGTCCTGCTCCTCGAGCTCCTGCATTGGCGTAAAGGTCACCTGTGCGCCCTTGATGCCAATAACGCTCGCGCTCATCGGGTCCTTCTTGCACCTGTTATGCGATTTGGGTCGGAACTCCTCGAGATGCTGCATGCACTTGATCGCCAGACGCACCGCGCGGCACCGGTCCATCGGCGACGGGACGCCGCCCTGCTGCACGTGGCCGGGGATACTGTCGCGCGATTCGAAACGGCCCCGGGCCTCCTTGCGGATAATGTCCGCGATGAGCTTGGCGTTGAACACCGAATCTGCCTTCTCGTTGACGAGGATGAGACGTCCTGAGGAGGTCATGCCCCGATCGTGGGCAAATACTTCACGCAGGTGGCGCACGTCGGATGCGAGCGTCTCAAGGTCGAGCCCTTCCTCAGGCGTGTATACGGCACTCGCTCCCACGCTGAGGCCTGCGAGCGTCGCGATGTAGCCTGACTTGCCGCCCTGCGTCTCAACGACAAAGACTCGCCGGCGCGTAGCCGACGCCGACTGCTTGATCTTGTCACAGTAGTTTACCAACTCATTCAGGCAAGTATCAGAACCGAGCGAGTATTCCGAGCCCGGGACGTTGTTCGATATGGTGGCCGGCAACAGGCACATGGGGATGCAGAGCGACGGGTACTGGTCCCTCGCCTTGCGCAACTGCGAAACGGCATGGAAGGCCTCAAAACCACCGATCAGGAAGAGGGCATCGAACTGGTACTGCTCGATGAGGTTGGCGACCAGCTCCATGCCTGATTCCTCGGGCAGTTCGCGGTTGGTTCCGATCTCTGAACCTCCCCGGCTCGCCCAGGCGTCCACCTCGAGCCAGTCGAAAGGTCGCACTGAGCCGACAGGCTGGTCGTCGTGGTGCCTGGTGAAGCCGGCGAAACCGTTGTGAATGGCGATGGGTTCGTGGCCCCGCGAGATACAGTAGGCCACGCCGGCGCGGACTGCGGCGTTCATGCCGCCGGCAGGGGCGCCGACGTTGATGAATCCAATCTTCATCCTCTGCAGGTCGTTTAGTAAGAGAATACTGATTCCCAAAGCACGTCACATCGACATACCTCGCTGGATTCCAGTAGAGCGTCGTCCACCCTGACATTGGTTGTCATCATGTAGGAAGTGAACATCTCGGCGAACTCGGTATCGCGAAGGCCCATGGCCGTTTCGAAATCCTTGGCATCAACTGCCTTGGCGACTTGCTTGGTGTCTTGCACAGCCTTCATAAGGGGTCTTCGTGTGATCTGGTTTTCTGTGATGGCGATGAAGCACGTCTCCGTCTCGGGCGTTGCTTCGAGGACAGCCTTGACGGCCTCGACACCCTGGAGGGTGCCGAGCATCCTGTCGTACGCCACGGCGGTGCCGCCGCGCTGGACGTGGCCTAGTGTAGTGATACGGGTGTCGAGAGCAAGGCCGTCCTTGTTCGCCAGGATGTTCTTGACCATTTCGGAAGTGATCTTGTTGCCGTGCCTGTCGTGAGCGCCCTCGGCAATGATGACAATGGTCTTGCGCTTGCCCAGAGCGCGGTGCTAGAAAGGGTTTCGTCAGCTTTTCGTGCCATACAACAGCCGTGGAGCCGCCCTGCGCTTACTCTCTTCACGATGGCACTCATGTCTTCCTCCCAGTGGTCGTCTCTAGGCTTTTCCGGGATGAAGATGAAATCGGCTCCCGTGGCAACGCCAGCCATGAGGGCCAACCAGCCGCAATGGCGACCCATGACCTCGATGACAAAGGCGCGTGCGTGGGACGAGGCAGTGGCCTCGATATAGTCCACCATCTCGCAGATGCGCTCGAGGGCAGAGTAGCAGCCAATGGTGGCATCCGTGCCGGACATGTCGTTGTCGATGGATCCGACAAGACCGACAATGTTGAGGTGCTTGTGCTTCTCCACCTGCTCGGGCTTGAGCTGGCCGGTTGACACGAGCTCCTCGAGGAGGGAGGGCCACTCGGCGCGGAACTTGTCGGCACCGGTCAGTGAACCATCACCACCGCAGATGATGATGGCGTCAATGCCGCTGAGGATCATGTTCTTGGCGGCGGTGAGGCGACCCTTGCGCTCGAAAAAGGCCATGCAACGCTGGGTGCCGATCAGGGTGCCGCCCTGGGAGAGCCAATTGCGGACGTCCCGCCATTCGGCCTTTCTGATGCTGTCGCCGCCCTGGACGAGGCCCTCGTATCCGTCGTACACGCAGTAGGCATCGCAGCCCAGGTGGATGGCCATGCGAACCACAGCACGAACGACACCGTTCATGCCAGGGGAGTCACCTCCCGAGGTCATGACGGCGATCTTCTTCTTCGTGGCCATGATGGCGGTTCGGTCGTCTGTCCGGACGGCCGATGTCCTCTCGCTGAATTCGGGAAGGAAAAGTAGACTAAAATCTAAGAGCTGTCGATGTAAGAAAGAGATGCCACAGCTCAAAGGAGGGGAATTGATAAGGTGGGTGATCCTACAAGGTAGATGTGTAATAGGTTCGACCAAGGTTTGGAGGGGTACTGGAGGGTGGAACAGGATAGGCAGAGCTGATCAGGCGAGCGGACTAGAACTGCAAAAGCGAACAGCCTCGGAATGCACGAGGCGCGAGGACGAAGTAGATTGGAGGAGCTAGATAGGTAGCCGCTCCCTAAATAAGACCGGTCGTACTGGTTGAGTCGCGGCGGGTGAGGCAGTCGGTGCCGGATTCGGTGGGAAACCTCTGGGCGTCGTGCGAGACACACGCATAGGCGGTCCAGACAGCTAGGGTGTTTTAGCGTGCCAGGGCCTGTGACGTGGGACAGACAGCGGATGGACAGGGGGGGGGGGCACAAGGAACCCCCAAGGGAGAGGGTTTTCGAGAGCTCTTATCGCTTATCGTCGGGCGGCGCGGGGTCTTTCAACATGGGCCAAGTAGGTACCTTTAACTACTAGGTGGTAGGTACCTTGCAACGAACAACTTGGGAATGAGGGGTTCTGGGCATGTACGTAGGAACATGATCTGATGCTTGGTCCTAACCTGCCCTGTTCTGTCCTGTCAGAGGAGGGCAACCTTGCGTCAAGGTCTTGAAAAACAAGATCCATCTTCCCCTCCTATGTCGGACCGGAGTCAGCTTTCTTCGCTCTTTTTTTCTCTCAAAGCCTTTGGGGGGGGGTTTGTTGAGGGAAATTTCCCATCTCCCTCAAGCCTCGTTTGTGAGGGGTTTACGGAGCTCTGAGCTCGAACGGCCCGTCTGGTCTCAAGCCCTGAGAAACAGCCCCCCCTTGGGCCCACTGAGAGGCTCCGTGCCAATGGTGGGTGCAGTGACTGTAATTCTATAATAATACCAGTGAGAAATGGTTCAAGATTGGCTATGGCCCGCGTCTCTGGTACCTCGCCGTTGATTTCGTTCGTTCGCATTCAGGGCCCCGCCAACCTACAGCAGATGGGACCCCCATGCGGTTTAGAACGATGGCAGCTCTCTGTCAGCTCTTTGGGCCACCCATTACGGCATTCATCGCTCTAAGAGACCGCCCAACCCGATGCACCCACTCAACCCGCCCCTGCGACCCACTTGAGCTCCTGCAGCTGGGCACTGATTTGTCGATCCCCCTGCAGGGCTACGTCGGGCTTCTTTGACTTCACCTCAACACCAACTGTCCGAGCACTTGTGCATCACAGCCTTCCGCATCGCAGCCTTCCGCATCCCAATCGAGCAGACGGGGGCAAACTCTTGTGCGGCGCTTTGCACAATGAAAAGACCGACATCGAGGATCCGACGCTACCATTGAGCTAATCGCTGCCACCGATATCGCCGTGCAACGCACCCCACGCGCATCATGGCGAACAATCCGACACAATCACCCTACACATCCTTGCGTCCGCCGCCCATTGGCAGTCGCAAACCAAAGAACCTGGGCGAATTCATTGGGAGGATACAAGCTGAACGCGGTTTCCGCAATGTCACCGAGGCAAGCCTCCGCGAGGAGGTCGCGGCCAAGACGAATGGCGAGGCAAAAGAGGACGACGTTCAAATGTCCGTGACGGACGACGAAGATGTCGAGGAGGCCAAGGATATACACACAGTCAAGGGCGAAATTATGCGCAATATAGAGTGAGCGGGAAGCGCTGCTTGTATGTTTGAGCGCCTCTGTTAACCAATCGCAGCGCTGCACACAACACAGCCATGGTGGCCCTCGACTTCGTTTCTCTGCTTCTGACCAAGCACAATCCCAACCAGGCGGGAGTCACCTTGTCACAGGCTCTACGCGACTTTGCCGGAATTGGAACGCTTGGGGTGTCCAAGTTCAAGGATTCGGAGCAAGCAGGCGACAAAAGACGAAGGGAAGAGAAGCGGCAAGAGGCCAAGGAAGTTTCCCAGGGATGGACGCTCATGGAAATTGAGCGGACGAAAAAGGCGGCAGAGAAATCGGCCGCCATGCTCGCCAAAGAAGTTGATCGGGAAGAAAAGTACTGGAGCGAGATTCTAGCGGTCAAGCAAAATGGCTGGTCGATGTGTAGATTGCCGGCCGAACGTCATACCCTGGGTGTGAGGTTTGGCTTCACCGAAGGTCAGTGTTTTCCAACCACCATGCTATGCGGCACGTGCTAAACTGCGCAGCATCCTCCGAGTTTCGGAACAACAGCCTTGCACCTCTGCGGCGTGGCGACGACGGCTCGGTCGTGCTGGAGCAGGGGCGAGCAGGGGTCGGCTGCCAACGCATCTCTGTCACGTTGGCAAGAGATGGTGAGATCAGCGGACAGTCCACTACGAGCTCGTCAATTCTAGAGTCGGCCCCACTGCAGGAACGAGTTTTGGAGGCTAGAAACACCATCTTCTCTCAAGAACTGTGGCACGAGCTTCATCGTGAGGCTCATTCTTTAGCCTCTTATGGTGTGCGTGCGAGCGACAGCAGCATCACCTATGAGCCGAAAACGGGCCCTAGCATCAATATCTCTCTGGACACGCTGTTGGGTGTGGCGCCCACGGCCCAGGAAACGAAGCCCGACACCTGGTACGCCGAAGTGACGCAGTTGAGTCTTCATGTGCTCCTCAGCTATGCTCATCGCGAGAACGAGGTGCAGCGCCGGAGGCCGGGACCTCCCCACCAGCGCCGTCACGAACAACACAATCAATATCATCTCATTCGCCCCATCCTATCACGGGCGATCCACGATGTCTCAGTCAGACAGTGCACCCGCCTCGTCGGCGATTTGGTACGCATCTTGCGCCAGTCGGGCATTGAGGAGGCTGCCTTCACTCTTAATAACCCTCAATTCGTCCTGCCCAATTCCGATGCCCTGACTTCGACGTCTTCAAATCGCCCAACAGCAGCGCAAGCCCTCGTCAATCTCCTGCTAGCCCCTTCAGACTTCCAACTCGATGTCACATTGACGCCGCGGGCGAGGATCCAGATTCGCGGCCGTACCTGGTTCCTCCCCCTCACAACCACGCAGTACCAGGTTCACCTCCTTCCGCCGCTGGACAGCACGGACGCAACGCAAAACTCTCTCTTGACTTCCTGCCCTCCGTACCGAGAGCGGGACGGCTACCCAGACCTCCAGTCTCTGAAGGTCTATCTTCTGACTGCTATACCACGCGCTCTCGCCGACCTATATCTGCCGCTAGCCGAATCACTGGGCTCCAACCCCTCTCAGGCGACTACGGAGCCCGCAGCAGAGACCAGCGATCCTATTTGGGTCAAATCGGTCCGCGGCAACGCCATTCAGGACAGCACGCGCGATGCGCGCGAGATTGCTTTTGAGCTCGACGAAAAGAGCAACGCCGATGGGTCAGAAAGGCTCACTCTAAAGGCCTCCGGCATCTGGTGCGAGGGCAGCGAAGCGCGCACCAAGTTCGAGCATTTCGACGGTGTCCCCGATGGCGAGGGCCAGGCGTCACCAACCAAGATCAAGATCAAGGACATCATCGAGGCGGTCGTTACGGCTACGGAGGCTGTCTAGTCGCCGCCCGTTGCTGTTGGTGACCAAGAACTGTCACATATGCCTGGTGCGCTGTTGGCCGAGGCAGATGGCCGCTGGAGTCCAGTCCAGTTTTTCTTCGACATGAGTTGATGAGACTGAGAAAGCCTTGGTGTGCATTGCTTCCCGACTTTGGAAGCTGCGGCGTCGGGGCAGATACGACCGATGCCGACTCGGGCATGCTTCGTATGAACTGAAGCTATAGAGAACGTACCAGACATCAGCCTGTCGCGAGGTATACAGAAGCACATCGGCCACGATGAACCACCTTTCAGTAGCCCCTAGGTAGTCAAGATACCCACTCTGTGCTTCCAGAACGAAAACCCTGCCCATATGACATGAGATGCGATGCTCCGTAGAGTGCCAAAGGGACAGGGCAATTCCAAGCTCATTTACAGAACCTCGTCGTCGCGCTCAACATTTGCCATGGTTGCAAGTGGCTGTCCCACGCACCCAGCGGCGATTTGGCGTTCCAGAATTGCTACAACCTGCCATCATGTACCTCTTGCGTGCTAGTCTTTTTTGTTATTGGTTTAATGCTGGGGCGGCCCTCAAAAAGTCATTGCGCCTCAAAGTCATGATTTCGGCTCCTGGGACGGAGACTTGCCACGGGAAACAAGATGCCTCACGGACTCTTTGATGTAATCCATGCTACCCACCTATCTTTGGCATGTCGTCTGAATGCAGCAGGGACATGTCCTTGGGCGCACCCGGGAAGGTGTCTGGGGTTCTTCCAGTGAGACCATGTGTTTGTGAGCATATTCTACCAGGTCTTCACCCAAGCTACAACAAGCGCAGGATGCAGGCTCCATGGGTTCCGGAAATGTTACTTCTGATAGTTAGGTCAGCACGAGGCGCTGCACCCATGGATTGTCTGGGCAATCCCTGCCCAGCGGACAGCATCATTCACCAATAGAGCATGCATCACAGTATCGCAACAAACGCAAAGAAGCTTAACCCAAAATGAGCTATTTGTCCTGGCCTCCTCTATCTTCCCTCAAAATCAGTCTGTGTGTATCCCCGGAAGATAAACCAGATAGACGCCCGGCGCCTGTTGACTGAGAAGCAACTCCGAAACCTTGATGCTATCATGTTCTCCGTGGCCCCTAACGCCACACCCATATCATTGCTGGGTCTAGATGAGATAGCATGATGCCTGCCCTGTAGTGGATCCCAACCGGAGAACGCAAAATGCAGCCATACTGCTTAGAAAACTCGCGGAAACCCCAGCATCCCTCAGAACCCGAAGAGGTGGCGAAGATCCGCCATACTGAGACCCATGCCCTTGCTGGCCTTACCATCAAGGGCGGCCTCGATAGCTTCCCGCTTCTTCGTCTGAATTTCCATGATGCGATCCTCGACCGAATCTTTGACGAGAATACGGTAGACCTTAACCTCGTTCTGCTGTCCGATGCGGTGGACGCGATCTACGGCCTGCATCTCGACAAATGGGTTCCAGAACGGATCCAAAATAATGACGCGGGACGCCTGGACAAGGTTGAGACCTGCGTTTCCGGCCTTGAGGGAAATCAACATGAGCTTGGTCCTGGGATTCTCGCGGAACCTTTGAGCAGACTTAAAGCGATCCTTCATGTTCATATCGCCGTCGTAGCGCACATGGCCAACATGTTTGAGCTCTTCGTCCTTTTGTAGAGCGATTTCCATCAGGTCAATAAACATGGTCCACTGGGAAAAGATCAAAGTCTTGGCCCGTCCATCCGATTCATCTCTGATCTGCTTGATGAGGTCGACACAGGCCTGTACTTTAGCTGAAGTCATCCAGTGTTTTGACAGGTAGCGGCGGTAGTCGCGGCCATCCTGGGCCGATCTCTTCGCCGACTTGCGAAGTGCCTTGAGCATCGTCGCCTTGACTTTACGCCTTGGACCCTTCGGCTTTGCCTGTTTGTTCTTGGTTGTAGCACGCTTGCTTTTGGCCTGCTGTTTTGCCTTGATGTAACGCGAAGGGGCACCTGCAGTAGATGACTCGTCATCCTCATCGTCAACTACGAAGCCTTGGAGATTGCCTCTGGCGTCGACATCATCCGCATTTTCTTCCTCGTCATCGGATGAGAACTCGTCAGATTCTTCACCTCCGCTAGTATCGATTTCCTCCCGTTCCCCATTGGCGTGGTTCACCTCTGCGTCGAGAAGCTCAGGCATGTGAAGCAGCTTGAAGGTCGAGAGATCAATGACTTTCTCCGTCTCCAGTGGTTCACGGCAGACAGCGCACCTAATCTGTTGCACGTTCTCACCGCGGCGGATATTATCACGCTCGCCGTTTTCAACATGAGTGCGGAGACAGTCAGAACACATGTAGTGTCCGCATGGGAAGGGGATTGCAGGGTTGGGAATCTTGTCCAGGCAGACAGGACAGTCAAAGCCTTCCAGAGATTCCATAGCTCCGCGCACCTGCTCGATGAGACGCTTGACAACTGGCGCTTTGAGTGTCACGGCAAGTTCCAAAGCCGCTTCCTTGTCGCGATCCAGGGGCACGCTTTCTTCATCATCGAGCACGAGGTGAGGATGACAAACTGCCTGTCTCATCCGTAGCAGCTGGACGAGCAAGACCGAGTATTGCTTGTGCGAAGTGCCCTCCCTGATATAAGCATTGAAGATGACTTGGGCGTTCTCTGTGACGGCTTTGTAGTATTGCAGCTGCTCTCCTTCCAACTCGATGTGGACGATCTCTTCAGTCTTCTCAGGGAGCTGCAAAATACGCTGCCCGTTGATCTCTGACTTCTTGTCACGTCGGAGCATGGTCTTCTGAAGGAGCACCCTAAAGGCGTTCAAGGCCGGGCCAGGATTCGCACCCTTCTTGAGGGGCCCGAAGGTGCGGTGGAATATTGCCCAGTCGTTATAGGGTTCGATTTGTAGAAACCGGTAAAAGGGGTAGATTTCGTGTAGAGTATTCATCATGGGTGTACCCGTGAGGCACCATCGGTGCTTTGCCATCAATGCAGTAGCAGCAAGGGAGGTCTTGCCCTTTCGATTTTTGATCATCTGAGCTTCGTCGAGAACGATGCGGTGGAACATGCTTTTAGTAGGGTGGAAAAGTCTGACGCTCTGGGCAAGCAAGGCATCGTTATCTTGGTCGACGTTGCGACCCGCGGCTTGCGTCCAGAAGGTGGTCACTTTCTTGTGTTCGCTGCATAGAGTCTGGTACGTTGTCAGGACTACGTCGTGTCGCATCAGTTCGTCTGCGCATGGTCGGTTGTTTTCGTGGAAGATGCAAATGCTGAGCTGGTGGTCCGGCAACAACTTGTCTTTTATCTCTTCCTCCCACTGTCTGACGAGAGAAAGGGGAGCGACAATAAGCGTAGTCTGTTGACTGTCAGTGAGGATCGGAATGAGGGGCCTGTTAGAGTGGGAAGCATACTCGACTACCGTTCTTAGCGGGATTTGCTATCATCAATGCCAAGGTTGAGATGGTCTTTCCCAGACCCATATCGTCGCCCAAGATTCCGCCTTTGCGGGCACTTGCTTCCTGTTTCTTCATCCAGGTCAGGGCCTGTTTCTGATGAGCGTATAAGGGATAACGCAAGCCAGGTGGCACATCAACCTGCTGGTCATCCGGAGTCTCAGCTCCGAGGGTGCGGACAAACTGCTCAATATGTTGACGCTGTCTTTCCTCCTCGCCAATGTTTGCCTGTCGTTGATAGGCTGATCCAGGAGAGTCAATTTCCAATATGCGATGCAGATCTCGTTGTGTATTCTCTTCTAGAGCATCTCCGCTTCCGTATGTCATGGTATTGAAATCGATTTGACTTGTGCGCTGGATTGTTGCGGCCAGCCCCGTGAGTGCCGGCTGCTGCCGCTGCGAACCATCGCGGCCCATGATGTTCATAGCGCCATTGTTGGGAGCTCTCCAGCTTGGTTGGTGCCCAAACAGAGAGGCTGGCACTGGAGAGCTCGACCGGGAGGGCTCTGGTCTGACCAAGCGCTCTTCCAGGAAAATGGGAGAACTGGTCATGGGGTTGGTGAGGCCCTGGCGACGAGTCTCGGTCTTGGATCTTTTCTGTGCGACGGCAGCCTCTATCTTATCGTCGGCTCTGCGACATGTTAGTAACAAGTTATCAAGCATGCCAGCAGTGAGCGACAAGGACTGACTGTGTTAGATCCATAACAGAACTGTCGCTAGCAGTTGAGCTACGGCGGCTGCCAACGAACGCCTGACGCTTGCTGCGACCGGGGCTCATGGCGTCATGTGCACCTTGGACGCTGCTCAGGTCGCGCTTGCTCCGTGACCGTAAGTCGCTCTGCCCGTAACCTGAACCGTGGCTTGAGGACGCCATATCGCCAGGAATGTGCGACGGGAACCCGGGCTGGCGGGTTTGATGGCTGTATAGACCTGAAGAGTAGTGTCAACTCGGTACCGAAGACTCATTGGGAAATGGTACATGAGGATGAACAGTAGTTCAGGGTTTGGGACACCGATGACTTCATGGGGCGTACGGAAGGGAGTGTAGAAAAGGAAAAGTCGAACGTGGGCGACATTTATAAGAATAGGGGGCAAATCAAGAACTGCAGACGACCATTGTCCTTTCATGCGCGAGATGGTAGCCCGGCTATGCTTTGTTGGGCAGGCTATACGGATTCGGAAGGAGAGGGAGGTTTCACTTACCATCGGGGCGGATGGCACGATGGCTCTCGGGAGAGCCTGTCTCATACCCAGTCCCTACTTGGACCGGCGCATTTCCTTCGTGATACGCGGATGGATATGTACGATGGCCGTAGAACCGCGAGAACGAATCGTTGGGCCGATCGGCGGTGATGCGCGCCTCTGGAAATCGCGTTGCGATGCGCCACTTGCTCTTCTCGGCAGCATCGATCTGCTCGCAGAGAGACGCAATCTTGCGCCTAGTTGTGTGGATTTGAGCGTTGACGAAAAAGTTATGGCCGTCTCGGGGCAGCTTTTTGAGGTAGTCCTGCTCGGCTTTGAGAGAGTCACGAAGCTGTCGAATGTGGTACTCGGCATTTGTGAGTGCGGCGTCGCCCTGATAAGCCTGCGAGTCGGCCATAGTCTCGGCAAGCCTTGGATGGACCAGGCTCCGGATGGTGTTGTAGTAGGGAAGGAGCTTGAGAAATGACGCGCGGTAGGCCGAAGGTTCGATATTGGACGAGTCAGGGACAGGAGTGATGTCAAATACCAATGAGAGAAAGATCGCGAGAGTGATAAGGTGGGTGGTAACCTAAGTCGACCTGTGTCGTGTAAAGTGGCATCGATGAAGGAAGATGAGATGATTCAGAGCCCGATATCATCCACTCTGGATATTGGTGTGGCCTTGCGCTGGAGTTAGGGATTCTGAGGCAAGCGGCAAAGGACTACTCTATGAGCTTCCTGATGAGGCGAGGCGAGTGTCCTAGAAAGCGCGGCGTCAGTACGGTCTGGGGCAGGACTTTGAATCGTTCATTACACGTGAATGCCAACTTACGCTGGTCAGATATGTCTGTGGAGATGGGAAGACCCTACGCCCGGAAGCCTGGGGGAAGGTTATACCTCTTGTCGATACTAATGAAGTGAGCGACATGGAAATCGCAAGGCATTGAGTACCCGAGTCGGAAGTCCGAGGGTCGGTATGTAAATTATGATGGTGGTGTAGTGAAGATGGGTACAGTAGGGAATGAAAGTGTAAAATAGCGTGGCCACTTCAGGTCATGCAGTTGTCAAGAAGGCATCCGTACGGTGCATGCGTGAAGGGGCGAAAGTGCTGAAGGCTGGCAGGCAGACACGTCAACAACTAGATTTCGCGGTGACATGTTTGGCAAGGAAGGCGCACTGGTGCATGTCACAGCTCACAGTCAGGCTGGCGATGCGGAAGGTGCAGAAGGTGCAGAAAGACGGATTGCATGCTGTGGATGACCGGGAGGCATTCTTCGGAAGCTCTTGCCCCACTTTGACGTCCTCGAACACTGCGAGCTACAGGGCCCTCGTGCGAAACGACGAGATACTCAGAGCCTGGGGGGACAGTACATGATGAAACCTCTATGTGCTGCGTGTTCCTGACTACCTGCCTGCGTAGCATACACACAGTACTGTTGTCGCTGCGGTCTTCCATGTGGGAAGCGAACACACGGCCCAGCTCACTGACCGAGTCCTCATCCGGAACGTGACTCAGCAAAATGGCACCCTCAGTCTTAGGGACTGGTAATGTGCGGGCTCGCATTCAAGGCGCCACCCTCACCGACTAGCTGACCCGTGTCTACGGTTGAATTTAGACAACCTGCGAACATATCCAAGTGAATATCATCAAGATTGACTCCTTCTGCAGAAGAAGACGAACAGTCATCCAAAAGCCAACGCAGGCTCCCTATACAATTAGTGCCTGCAGTACTCTCTCTACCAATGCTCGCACCAGAACGCCGATGAATCCGTCCAAATCCTACACGCAAAAATGTTCAACCCCTCGTCACGAAACTCGAAACCAAAGAAATCATCAATCAGACCCTGACCCGTTGATCTTATCCCAAGCATCTCCGATCTTGCCTGTCACCCAATCCCAGGCATGCTTGATGCCATCTCCAATGCTCGTTGCAAGGTCCTTGTCAGGATCGTCGCCCCCTGTGGGCGTAGCGCTGGGGCTTGGCGCCGTAGATGTGGGCTCCTTCGTCGACACGCTCGCCACCTCCTCCGTGCTTACAGCGACTGCAGAGGTTGTCGTTTCTTTTGTGGTAGAATCGACCGCCGCGATAGTCGAAGAAGTGGTCGGCTCAGGATCTGCCAGTTCGGTTGGTGCGTCCTCCGGCTTGTGGAGGCCGGAAGGTCTGAGGGGAAGGCGAAGTGTGCCGTTGTTCGGCTTCGGCACGAGTCCGACTGAGTCACAGAGTATGTTGTAGACCTCAATGTTTTCTGTCACGCGTTAGTGCTGCCGCTGCTCACAGCTTTTGGGGAAGAGGGGGTGGAACGACGTACGGAAGGGCGCAATCTCGCTGTTGGGCGGGTGATGGAACGCTGGCCCGCGAGCGATGAAAATGGCTCGCATGAGAGGATGCTCGTGGTCATAGCCATGGAGGCCCCGAGGGTGATAGATCTCGCCCTTCTCGACGGCTGCTGCGACATCAAACTCATTCTTGGCAGCGATGGCCCAGCCCGTCTTGGGCACGATCCACAACGGCGCGATTCGTTGATTTTTGGAAAAATGATAACGCTCGGGCATATTCACGTCTCGAAGGTAGACCTCAAAGTTGGGGTTCGTCTTGGTCTTTTCCTCCAAGCCGTCGAACAGCCCTTGGAGATCAGCAGGGTCCTTGGGCCGCAGACCATAGAGCGGCCAGCCATCTGTGTGCTCGATCTTGTCGACGTCGACGAGGTCCTCGAGCTGCATGACCCGCGCGGTATCCGTCGACGCCATGCCGTGATCCGAAACGACGATGACATTGACGATGTGTGTCAGGTTGCGGGCCTCGAGCCCAGCGAACAGCTCCTCCATCATGCCGTCGGCGGACTCAATGGTAGCTCGGATCTCCGTGCTGTTGGGTCCATATCTGTGGCCATCGCCATCGACATTGGGCACATAGGCAGCAATGAGCTGCGGGCGCATCTCTGCCACGGCAACGGCATGGTCTTCTTTGCCGGGCATGTCTAGGAACTCGAGGATGCGACTGACTTTGTTGGCCAGCAGCTCCTTGCCGTTGTACTTGTCAAGGAAGCTAGGCTCGACACCGTCAATGTGCGCCTCGCTGCCGGGCCACATGTGGACTGCCGTCCGGATGCCCTGCCTCTCAGCGGTCACCCAGAAAGGTTCGCCGCTCCACCACTTGGGATCGAGACTCCGAGCGGGGTCCGTGTAATAGAACTCTGCCTGCAGCTCGGGGTCCCAGAATGTGTTGCCCACGATGCCGTGGCTCTCCGGGTACAAGCCGGTGGCCAAGGTATAGTGGTTCGGAAACGTGACCGATGGAAAGGACGGCATCATGTACTTGGGCGAAACGCCTTCGGCAACGAAAGCGTTGAGCCGTGGGGTGATACCTCTCTGCAGGAAATCGGCGCGAAAGCCGTCCAGGCTGATGATGATCGTTGTCGGCGCGAACAGGGCAGTGCCGTTGCTCACCAGCTGCGGCCTGGTCCTGGCGGAGTTCTTGCCGAGCGAGAGCTTCCAGGCGAGGAGGAGAAGGATGGTGAAGCCGACAGCGATCAAGGTGTGCATGAGGAGCCATCTGCGCCAGCTGCGCCTCCGGTCCGACTTTGCGCTCGCGACCATGCCCAGTCTCCGCCGGTCGAGCTCGTTGCTGTCTTCCCTATCGCTGCTGTCGCCGGTGCTGCTTCCCTCCTTCATGCCGCCCTCCTCCATCTCGTACATCAAGCCGCCATCCTCGCCATGAGACGCCATCTCCATCAATTTTTCCTTCTTCTGCCTCCTTCTCGTTTTGCGTTGATGGCGCTTCTCGTTCGTGTAGTCGTCGGCCGACTCGTCGTTGACGGACAAATTCGAGTCGCTTGCCCGTCGCAGCAGGCGCAGAGGATTCGGAAGGGCGAGGCCGGAGCCTCGCCGCTGGGATTCTTGCCGCTGTCGTCTCGAATCGGTCACCAGCCGGTCTACCTCGTCCTCCTCCATGAACACTATCCTGTCAGCAGCGCGAAGTTCACGGCTGTTCCGGGCGCGGAGCTGGAGCTGATCGTCGTCGCTGTCGGAGTCTTGGTCGCTCGGGCTGTGGAGGGATGCGGCGTCGTCGTCGTAGCCCACCGGCGATAGGAGGTGGGCCGCACCCTCGCGATCGCCATGGAGCGACTGGGTGTTGAGTGGTCGAAGCGACATGGCGATGGTGTTTGATCGTTCGCGTGTCGTCGATGCCAGCGAGGCCAGATAGAAGCACGTCAGACCATCAACAAAATTGATGCTGATGATGATGCTTGTCAAGGACAGGATCGCTCTCGGAATCAAGATTGAATTGGCGTCCCTCAAGGTTGCGCCGCCCAAGATGCGGCCGCCGACCCGGCACTTTCCATCATCCCGTGGCCTAAAAAGGCATAGTCCAGGCCCAAAATCGCAACTTCAGCGGAGAAGCACAGGCCAGTCCGAGTCAAGGGTCCAGCGCCTTCGTTAGGGGTCCAACCACACAGCCAGCCTTGTCCAAGACGGTCCATTTTGTCGACTCTCTGTATGATGAGGCATCAGCATATGAAACGGTTGACAAAATTCCAGCTTATGACTGGTTTTTTGTCTACGGTTCTTATCCTTTCACTTTCCATATTCTCCTTCTTGCAAGTAACCCTGCAAGCGTAGCCACCTGATAAGGCTGATTTGATTGATCGACTCTGCCCACCTCAGTGGAGGCTCCTCTGGTCTTCCTCACCAGACGGGGTTGGCGGATTGCATAGGGCCCTTTCCTCACCATGGTCTGAATGCCAGCGAGCACTGCAGGTGCGCTGCTCGCTGCGCGATCGACGTCTAGAAGGTCTAGAAGGTCTCGCTCTACAACAGAGGAGGAATGCTGGCCGTGTTCAACAAGTGCACATAGACTCGGACTGTAGAGATCCACAGACTGACGACCTCGCTGGAGCATTTGGATTCAAAAGCTCAAACGTGAGGAGCAAGATTGTCCCAGTATCCGTAAGCAGGTACCCAAGACGCCAGCTGTGTCAAACGATGGCCGTGCGATCGAGTCAATAAGCCCTCTGGCGGGTGTAGCAATTCAACTGGTGCTAATTGATACAGCAACGAAGATGCCTGGGGCGCCCACAACAGACTTCCGAGCCGAGTGTGATGAGCTGTTCATGCAAGCTGGTCATCACCAGCTCGGTCACTCGATTGGTGTCGAGTCTGGTCAACGGTCGAAACCTTGTCATTTGCTATCACGGCCTCGGCTCGGACATCATTGGATATGGGTTTTCGAGCCGGGCCTTGATCGAATTGACGTCGCGAAACGTAAGCGCACTGCACCTCCTGTCGGTATGAGTCAACGGGCACAAGGCCCCGCTACCGAGCTCGGGCGGCTTCTCCTCCGTCTGACCACTCCCGAACACCCATCATGTCTGCCATTCACGTGTTTCAACTAGCATGAGGTGGCCGTGTGTGAATTA